TGGATAAATTTGTGGAAGCCCAATGGGAGGAAAACATGTATAAATTAATTAATTAAATATATACTTATATAAATAAATATCAAAGCTTGTTTTATTTTCTATATGAGTGGGTAATTAATAAAAAAAAACTAAATCTAGAAATATTTTTTTTCAGTAATGGTATGGAGGGTAGTTAGACCCTTATTATGAGGATGGATGGATAAAGTGGAAAAATAAAGGGTAGACAAATGAAATGTGTAATAGTACCTGTTAGTAAAATATACTCAGTAAGAAACCTTGAGTTTTAATGTAGAATTTGATTAATTTCTGCACTCATAAAAATATTCAGATTATTATAGGTGCTTAGGTACTTACCTAAACCGTGAATTTTATGGGATTACAAGTAAGTTGTTAATGACAGGTAAGAATAAAAAAAACTATTTTGAAGTTGTAAGGGAATGTTGGAATGTATTAAAATATTATTAGGTAAGTATTAACTTTGCTAAACAACGCAGTAATATGTACCTACCAGGTAGCCTTGTGCTACCTACTAGATATTTACATTTCTGTTAATAGTATGGGATTGCGTAGAATTAATGATGCATTATTTTACTTTATTTGTTTTATAAATGACCTTGGATATGAAGGTTTACATTAAGTTGTTAATCAATTGATAACAAGCTTAACGACAGATAAGTTGGTAGATATTGCATTTGTTTTTGTTTTGTTGGCACTCATGACCATTATCTGCTTGACCGCAAGATCTTTGGTTCGATCCCTTGTCTGTCTAGGTAATTAATAACCCTTAAGAACATACCTAATATATATATATATATATATATATTAGATACCTAAATGATTATTTTCAAAGTTGTAAAAGGGGGGTACCTAACATATTAAAAGAAATGCACCTAAACCTGTTTTGATAGGGAATAAAAATGGCGCCTAATATTATTAGGAACGAAGTTTAATAAAACTATACTTACCTAATTGCTATTTTCTCATAACTACTTATATATTTGAAAAAATACGCTTGTCTTAACAAAAATAATTATTTCTTATTTATTTAATAATTAATCTAGCATAATTAATCTAGCAATACCTAGATTTATTATTGTCCCGTAGTATCTATAGATAGGTACCTACTTATGAAATATCGAATTGTTTTGATAACGAAGTTAACGATACAGACCTACCTTTTAACAGAAGCAAAATTTGCATAATGCATCAGATAGCTACCTGCCTACGCTAAACTTAAAACAAGTCTCACCAACGATTACTAATAAGAATAGCCTACCTACGTATGTTTGGATTGCAAATTTACCTGGTAGGTACTTACAGATTGTCGTTATAAAGCCATTACTCGCTCCGTTCTATGAAAAAAAACATTGCGTGAAGTTCATGGTACGGTGATCTCGGCTCAATGATGTTGATGGTATTGACTTCGAAAGATGTAAACTTGGAGAAAAAGCGTTCTTTCTCCAAATAAAGATTTCACAGGAATTATTCCAGTCGACACGCGACGACGGCAGTGGTAATATATCCATTTTTCGTAGAAATCAACAACTCTTGCGTTATGGCTTTTTATACACTGTCTTTTATCGAGTAGTCGCCTACGCGGCAGTTAGGCAACAGTAAAGTGTAAACCTGTAACGACTGTTAGCCATCTAGTCCAATTCACTTACACAGACTACACTCGCCATCTCGGTCACTCGCACTCTCTTAAAGTTCCGCGACTTTGAATTTTATTCACTTCACATAAAATTCCTTTAAGTATGTCCTAGATGTTTTTGTTTTTATTTAATTCTCCGCTGAATGAGTCATTACTTTTTTGTGCATACCTCAGATCAGACTAACTTAGAATGTTTAACATATGTATCTAACAATGTGGAGATCATTCCAGGGTCGGATATATTGTTTTAATATGTACCTATGACATAGGTTTGTATTGTAATAAATGAATATTCTTGTATCTTCCCGGGTAGGGTTATTCAATGTCTATGGTTGTTTACTAATGAGGCCTCGTTCTGATACTTTTTGATCTAAGTTTGCACATTTGATACTTACCCACTAGAAGTTTAACTTACTTTCTTCCCGTAGGTTTACCTTTATCAAGAATAATACAGGATACCTACGATTAAGTATCTATGCAGCACTCAAGTTCAATATTGCAAGAGAAGGAATGGGATGGTCAAGTCAGTAAGAGTCTTACACCACCCTCCCTGGACAAGAGAAGTCATTTGATGATTTTCCCTATTTTTTACCAACGTATTAGGTAGTAAAAGTAGGTACGTATCTGTCAAAGCTAAAACTTTAAAAAGTAAAGCTCCAAATACACAACCAAAGAAGGTATGTTACACGATGGGACAGGTGCTCGGGTATTCTATTGAGGCATTCACCTCGTTGGTTGAATGCTCATAGCCGCAATTAGGTACCGAGCAAGTAGCTTCGGGTCCGATTCGTTTCGTTCAAAGTTCTATAATAATATAATATTATTGATATTTTCGGCAAGATTGTCATATTTAGGTAGGTACTCAACTAGCAGAACCGGCTAAGAGAATTTGTATTGTATGTGTGATGAATGTCTTTAGAATTATTTTTTTCACTCAGTATAAGATAGATTTTATTTACAATTTTGTACTCAAAAATGTTTTCGCAAAATCTCTTTACCTATATTTAATTTTAAGAATGTTCTAGCCAATATTTGATTATTCAGCATGCAATTTGTCGCAAACAAATGACGTATTAAATGAGTAGATAGGTATACTTACATAGGTGGTCGCCAAACTATTGCATAAAAACAATTCATAGCGCACTTTATTTAAAAATGACTAACCTAATTTACCTATGCAATACAGAGATTTCAGTTTAATCAAATTAATTATCTATTATAAATACGAAAGTAACTCTGTCTGTCTTTTCTTCACGCCTAAACTACTGGTTGGAAACCAAATTGTGTGAAATTTGGTACAGCAGATATAGTTCAGAACTCAAGAAAGGACTCGAAGAAGGGAGGATTTTTAAACCAAAAATCTGCAGGAAGACACTATTCCACGCGAACAAAGTCGCGGGCAAAAGCTATTTTCAACATAAACGTAGATACAGTTTTTGACAGTTCAACAAATTAGCCTTAAATACCTAGTTGTGAAATATCTTATTGGATACGCCTATCTGTCTACCCCATATTATTCCAACATAATGTCAATACATTTGCCTCTTCAGCCTAACCTGAGGCAAGTGAACCCGCTTTTTAATATAAATCTTGTAGCTGTACTTACAGCAGCAACTAAAGTAGCTAGGATTGTGGGTGTAAGCTCATGATTAACCTTCCTTAGCCCGGCTTGAAACTGAAGAAGGATCAGGGATGTTTTTAGGTGGTAAGATTCTGATTTTGGAGGGAGTCGTCCCCACTCAGGGTGGGAGAAATCATTTCACGATTTTCCACCTTATAAGAAAAAAAATAGAAATTATTACGTAAGTAATTTAACTTATTTAATTGGAATTGATCATGATATTGGTGCCTAGTGGCCCACCAATTGCCAATATATGCTACTTAATAGGTAGGCAACTTAACTCCTATACGAGTATTAACTACGCACTATATAAAACACGAATTAAACTGAAAGTTATACATATAGGACCTTAATTCTATATTCAAAAATTACAGCAGATTCCTACGCATTCTTACATAAATGTGTACGCAATATTAATGGGTATGAGGTACCATTGGTTTTATTAAGCCGGTTTCCTATTTGAATACAGTTGGCAACGTTACCTAAGGGCTCTTTTACTGAGGAACAAACATTTTTATTGTGCTCGAGTCTGAATAGGGGGGTTGGAGTGGGGTGGCTGGTGCCCTTCGCGCATGCTCCATTCAGTCGGCGACCCGGTGCGACCCTCGTCAACTTCAGTCCACACCTGAGGAGCTCAAGGCGATCCCTCGTGTTTCTACACTTCAAGCAATTTTAGGACTATAAAATCCTACACTATTCAAAAGTAAGTGACCATTTTTTATTTGTATCGATACATTTATTATGTAACTGACCTATCAGTGTTAGACTTAATTAGATTTTCATTGATGTGACATGGTGTTTAGTCCATAACGACACGTGTTATACTCGTACGATAGCTGTGACATGAGCTGACACTTTAAAAATATACAGCGATGATGGAAACTAGAGCCACATGTGACGCAATTTCGTGTAATTTACCATTGTATCACGTCCTTTTAAAGGGAATCAGTCCAGAATTTGGTGTTTATCTCGTGTCGGTTGCTGTATCTGTGATCGTTATTTTAGCGCGATTTTAATAAATCAAATGGCGTCGAATCGATATCGTGGAAACATGTGGACATCCATTTTGGACGCTCTTACTTATTTATTATGTGTGGAAAGTGGGTTTTAGTCTACGGTTGGCGTAATAAACTCTTATGTGATTCATACTTTTAATTTTTTTTAATTAAATCAGGTCTTCAACTTTTGTCAAACTTACTTAGGTACGTCTTGTTCTTCTCTTCGTTAGGTGGGAATTTAGGTAGCTATAGTTGCGGTACCGCTATGGAATTACACTTTAAATTTCATACCTTCTCTATTCTCTTTACAGAAATGATGAAGCCGAAATTAACAAGCCATCCTCAACTATACGAAAGACTTTTTAAACATCAAACATTGTGACGCACAACCACCACATAAGTTTTGAATTACTTTATTTCTAAATATTTAAAAATATAACTAGTTTACGAATTGCTTTTAAAGTCGTAACTAGTTATTATCTGTAAATCTTTAGCTTCTATTTATATGTATATTCTATAGTTATTTTTCTATAAAGGAATGGAAATTCGACTGTTTAAAGTTAAGAGAGGATTGTTTTCAAAAAGTGTTAAGGAATTAATATAAATATAAGAGCCAAGCTTATCGTTAATTATGGTAATATTTGCGTTTGGTTAGGTGCTACAGAAATGTTTTTTTTTTTTATATGAAAATTGATTAGTGAGATTCGAAAGTTATTTGAAAGGCAAAATAATGGAACCGTTTTCCGATGATTTGCTATGGCTTGTGATTAGCGGGTTTGTTGTGGCGTTCGTATTGGCTTTTGGCATTGGTGCCAACGATGTAGCTAACTCGTTTGGGACCAGCGTCGGCTCCAAGGTGCTCACACTTACGCAGGCTTGCATACTGGCAACTATCTTCGAAATCGCTGGCTCAGTTCTTATAGGTAAGTAAAGATAAAGCTATATTACCAATCCACTCACAGTGATACATACAAATATTGAACCTGATTTACTTTGAGTATTTAAGCAGAAAATGCGAGGTTAATCATTGACCTTAATTAGGTGGAACTATGTGGGTCACTCGCAAGTTTTTTAAGAAGCAACAAAACACCTACCTAATCCTGCCCACTCAAGCTTAACGTTTCCTAAACTTTTATTAAAAAAAAATATTTATTTATTTTATGACACCTGGCTTATATTATATTGTATTTTTAATAGGAATTCTCTCTGTCCATACAACAGCAACACTGTCTGGTGGATATAATACGTACAACTGTACAGAACCCCACGATAGATTTAATAAAGACATTTTAAAATTTACTTATTTCTTAAGTAAGTCAATCATTTTGTTTCTATACAGGATATAAGGTATCGGACACAATGCGTAAGGGCATTCTGGACGTGTCTTTATATGCTGATGGGGGCGAGAAGCTGTTAGCTGCGGGATGTCTGTCGGCGCTGATATCTGGCGCCATCTGGCTGATTGTGGCTACAGCGCTGAGACTGCCCGTGTCTGGCACACACTCCATGGTCGGGGCCACTGTGGGCTTCACGCTCACTGCTAAAGGCCCTATAGGTGTGCGCTGGTCTACACTCGGAGCTATTGGTGAGGAAATATTTATTACGGATTATATTTGTTTGCACAGCTATAATGTATGTCTGTCATGAATATCATGGCACGCAGTTGTTCACATGTTCAAATATATTCTATGGCGGGAATGCGTAGTGCAGTCTGTGCAGTAGATAAAATCTTACCTAGACGTAAATCATATTTTGCTCGTGGGTGATTCAGGAGATTTCAGACGTCTTGCCGAAATATGTTTAGTAAAATAAATTATGTTACTATTGTCTATATTATACTATTGGTTTATTCATTAACAACGATGACACTTGTTAGTTATTTTCGGTTATGTTAATTAGTCTCATTGTAATGGGAAGTGAGTACCTACTTGACAAATACATTGTTATTCAGTTTTCAAAATACTTTAAAATAGCCTGATGATTAATTTTGAAATTGAGTCTCAATGATTCACGATACAATTGATAGCCTGGGTGTCGCATTGCGAGAACCATTCGGAGGACTCAGTGGTAATGTGCTAAACTTCGGCTGAGTACAGCTGTGTCCTCAGGCCTCAGGGCAGGGAACGTCTGGCGGCGACGTCTCGCGCCTGGCTTTGGTTTAGGCCATACAGAGCGAGAGAAACTGGGATGCCTTTTTATCCTTCTGTGAAGCAACCATGCTCGAAAGATGCTCAAAAAAGAAGCACTTGAGATTCGTACGCCCCAGTAGAAGACGCTCCGGGTATCGTGGATTGTATGACAATCTTCCAGGACTGGGGAATATACTACATGATTTTCGCATTTCAAAAATAAAAAATTGCACTGTCAATGTCAAATGTCAAAATTAGCGCAAAAAGGAAGAGTTACGCAAATACTGATGAAAATAGAGCCCGCGATCATTTCGATATCTTTAGATTTACGGGCCATTCGTTTGATTATTCATTATTCCAACTGACGTCTGTTGTTCGTTGTCGGTTCAAGGTCGAGGCTTTTCAAGCGATTTGCGTGCGTAATCTATGTACCTGGGGATCGTATTCTAAATGACAACATCATTATCCTGTATCTGCGTATCTTGTCCTTTATGGACGTAATTACTTAGCTACTGAGCATCCAGTAATTACCTTGAGTTAGGGAATTAAAGCGAGCGGTTAATTATTAGAAAGTGTAGCCCGCCCACTTAGTAATACATATTGTGCGGCATATAGGTACCTATTCGTACAAGCTAGTTAGAAGTTACCTACTAGGTCCACATGAACATAACATTAAATGTGGGCACTTAGTTTTCATTATAATGGTAGAACATATAGACATAGAAGTGTTTACTCTCCTTAACCTTGGACTAAATTACATTCCTACATAAAGGGTGTTTCTCCAGCGCGATCAAAGGAAGCGTCTTAAGACCTTTGGAACTCAAGGTTACGATTATAAGAGGTATACGAACTAGGCAGATACTAGATATTACGTAATTTACTTTTTGAAGATTTACTAGAATCCATTTTAGCTGTATGACGTCTAGCTAGGTTAATGTTATTTTATTTATTCGTCGTCGTAAGTCGTAAGTAGTCGTCTACCTAATTGTTTGTAGACGTAGACACTTTCATTTGTTTTATTGCGCTTGAATGCTAAAAGTATTTAATGAAGTGTTATTACATAATTATAAATTGTCAATGTGAATCAAACCTTAGGGAATTGTAGGTACATATTGTATGTATATACGTAGGTATCACTCAGATCTCCTGTTATGTTGACGTAGCACCAACCGATAGTCAACAACTTGAAAATAATAGGTCTTTACCTATGAAATTGCCGTTCTGCAGTACTGGCCATTTCAAATCAAAATAGTTTTTGTTAGGCAAAGGCTTATTAATTTTGTTTTAAAAACATGGGATTATTTTTTAAAAAGTAGTCATTTGTTTATTGATAAGTGTTACATTTTCATCGCATTTTCGGCAATTTCATAGGTAAAGACCTACCTATTATAAAGTTTATGACTACAAAACTACGCTGGATAGAATTAAATAATTGTATTTTGTTCCCAGTGTTATCATGGTTCATATCTCCAGCGTTGAGTGGCACGGCATCCGCCCTCTTGTACTGGCTGGTGCGCCGTTTCATCCTCCGGTCTGCACAGCCTGTGAAGTCAGGGCTGACGGCGCTGCCTTTCTTCTACGGGGCTACTCTGGCCGTCAATGTATTGAGTGTGGTGCATGATGGGCCTAAGCGTAAGAACCTATTTTGATATTATGCCGTAGCTTAATTGTCAAAATTCTTAACTTGTGTGTTGTGCTATTCGCATTTAACTTATTAAATATGATGTTTTAATTATTTTCAGTTTTGGCAATGGACAACATCCCGTTGTGGCTGGCTCTAGTATGTTCCCTGGCGTTGGGTGCTTTAGTGGCAGTGTGTGTGCGCATGTTCCTCGTGCCCTACTATAAACGACGGCTTGTTGCACCTCCTGTCAACTTCTCGCTTGGATTATCTAACGGTAAGTGTTTTTTATTTGAAACTAGCTCTTACCCGCGGCGTCGCTCCCGTTATTTGACTACCTACCCTACTCTACCTACTCTACTTACCCTACCTATCCTACTCTATCTACCCTACTCTACCTACCCTATTCTACCTACCCTACTATACCTGCCCTACTGTACCTAACCTACTCTACCTACCCTACTCTACCTACCCTACTTTATCTACCCTTCTCTACCTACCCTACTCTACCTACCCTACTATACCTGCCATACTGTACCTAACATATATGTCATTCTCCTGGCTCTAAACTACCTCCCTGCCAATTCTCAGCTAAATCGGTTCAGCCGTTCTTGAGTTATAAGTTTAGTAATTAACACGAATTTCTTTTATATATAAGTATAGATGAGTTATCTTATTAAAAATCAGTTTCTTTAAAAAATCGTGTCATTATTGTTACAGAAACAACTCCAGCGAATACTCCAACTCATTCCAACAAAAGCAGCATCCCACAACGACCTACCTCCCTGTTATCCGAAGACGGTAAAGTACTCGAAGCGATAGCGGAATGTGCTGAAATGGTGACCCTCAGTGACGCTGACAAGACATCCGTCGGTGTGATGAACGCCAGGAACCGGGCCCTCCTAGCTACAATGGACGACTGCAGCATACTGTCCAGAAGTCTCAGTCCACCAAACAAGTCTCGCTTACAGCTGATAGATGCAGATCCACAGATAAACACTTTGAAGTACATAGATGAGACGTTGAGTTGTTGCAAAAGTTTAGATTCAGCGCAAATGGCTGGCATGGGAGAGAGTTACGACTCTAGGAACGGGTTCTTGGGCGACTCGTGTGATACCATAGCGCGCGGGGAGTTCGACAGGCTGGCGGCGGCCAGAGCCACGCATTGCGTGGAATTTGATACACCACCACCACGCATTGATAAGGTGAGTGAAAGTTTCTAATTGGTGGTATTCCCGAACCGATACGACCTTCAAAGTTTCAAACCTTCAAGAAACAAGCGTACTCCTTCTTAAAAGGCCGGCAACGCACCTGCGACTCCTCTGGTGCTGCGGATGTCCATGGGCGGCGCCAAACGCTTACCATCAGGTGATCCGTCTGCTCGTTTGCCTCCTATTCCATAAAAAAACCTAGTGTTGGTATTATCCTCTATCTATGGATACAATGAACACAATGTTTTGGTGATGATTTGTGTTTGCAGATAGTCGGTTTTATATTATTATTTTTTCAGGGACCGGATCGTGGTAGTGCGTGGAGCATCGAGCGCTGTGCGGCGGTGGAGACGGTGAACGCGCGCACGGCGGGCATCACGCCGAACTCGAGCGCGGCGCCACTGCTGCGGCCCGTGTCGCCCCCGCCCGCACCACCCCCACCCCCTCCACCTGACGCGCTGCGGCTCTTCTCCTTCCTCCAGGTCCTCACTGCGACCTTCGGAGCATTCGCACATGGTGGCAATGATGTAAGGTAAACATCTGCAGGCTTAATTAATTTTACAGTTCTTAGTTATTTAATGGTTATACAATAAAATAAGGGAAAACAATATCTGAAATGCAATATTCAAATATAGTTCCTAAGTTAGCATAGTTAAACACAACACACTATATAATTAAAGGTACTCTGTGCACAACACACACGCGCTACAAGTTTCAGGGCAGACAGTTTTCTTTGGTTTGCAAAACAAATAACATTAATTTGGTCTCGGCAGTAACGCGATTGGTCCTCTGGTGGCTCTGTGGCTGTTATACTCTGAGGGGGGAGCCCACTCTCGGGCTGAGACTCCTCTGGCCATCCTGGTGTTCGGTGGCGTCGGCATCGCGCTGGGGCTCTGGCTGTGGGGCCGTCGTGTCATCCGCACTGTCGGTGAAGATCTAACTAGTATTACACCTGATACGTAAGTCTATATTTTTTATTATGTATTTGTTGTATAGCTGACATTTGCATATATTATCTATATTATGGCGTGACAACGGAAAACACCCTTACATATAAGTAGCTTTTTTTTCGTAAACTGAAATAGGACTGCAATTTCAGCTTAGGTTTAGAATAGTCTCAAAATCCAAATACACTGTATTTCAGCTGAGTTTCTTAGCTACGTATAAATATTTAGGTATAACAACATAGTTAAGTACTATTTGACTGCACGGTTGGCGCTGTGGCTGGGCAACTGGCTGCCTGGCAACGTGTCACGGTTTCGATTCCCGCTCGGAACAACTCTTTGTGTGATCCAAAAATGGTTGTTCCGAGTCACAAATGGTATGTTTGTAAACGCACCTACGACACATAAGAACCCAAGTGTAGAGCAAAGTTTAAAAAAAAAGTTTAAACACGTCGTATATCAATGACGCTTTTGTATTGTATTGTGTATTTATTTATTTTCCAGTGGTTTCACCATCGAGCTGGGCGCCGCACTGACTGTCCTGGTGGCAAGCAAGGCTGGTCTGCCAGTTTCAACAACTCATTGCAAAGTTGGCTCGGTGGTCTGCATCGGCTATTTTTCCGATAAACCCGTTGATTGGAGTTTGTTTAGGTTTGTACACCTTTTTTATGACGAGGGAAACTTTCTAAGGGTGCCTAGTTTTTCGGGAAAAAAGAAACTGAAGAAGAAGAAACAGAAGTTGTTTCTTCAGATGGATCACCTGCGTTGCCGGCCTTTTGTGGGTGGGGTATGGGGATTGAGGATGACGGGGTGGGGAAAAGGTTCGGTCCTCCGGTAACCTTATTTATACGGCGAAACATAGTTTCACCTTGATATTCTGAGAGGCAGTGGTATCACTAGTTTATTCGTATCGAAACATGCTACACTTAAACCTCTATCTCACAGTAATCTCTCGGTGGCTACCATCAACATCTATAAGCGACACCGGTTCTTCTCAATTGCACATCCCTATGATGGAGATCTTCATGTCTTTTTTGAGCCTCACTATGCGCTGATCACGGTGCGATAGCCTCCCTGAAGTCAGTTGGTGCGCCTGGATTCCTCATTCATGTTGCTGTGGATATACGAGGCAATGAGGCAATAAATCCATACTTGTGCACTTTGTACCCTTAACTATTTATGAACATTTCATCTCACAAATAACTTTGGTTTGCCTACCTACTATATCAGAAATTTGTGATCAACGTTTCCTTCAAATGTTTTAGTTTTTAATTTAATTGTGATTCCAGGAATATAATATTCGCGTGGGTGGTGACTGTTCCTGCTGTAGCCGCCATTGCAGCTCTCGCCATGTTGGCTCTAGAAACATTCGTCGTGTAGATATCTTCATTTATTTCAACATCGAGACGTCATCCTAGATGGTATAATAAATATGTCTAGTTTCCTTCTTCGGTGGGCAATAATATTCAGCGTTATATATAATTGTAGTCACTTGGACGTGGCTCAAACTATTAAGTTCTAAAAACGTTAAGAAACAAAAATGATTGTTTTTTCGCCCGGAATTTGTAAACTATTAATTAATGATCTAATAATACAAACGAGCGCAGTTGTTTGATCCTTAATATGTCGATGATGCATAGGAGAAACCACAAATAGTTATTGTTGTTTTTTCCTTCTTCAGTACCACATGAGATGTAATAGTTGTAGACTAATACCTACTAGGAACTTACTTAGTCCTAGATCTCTATTTGTCTTTGCACCATTACCGTACCTATAAGTACTAAAACTTCTTTTCTTTTACTGATCTTAACACGTGTACTAATTAGACAAACTGTGATTAAAAATCTAATTAAAATAAGAAATTAAAACGTTACGTAATTGTTACCAAGTTTAACTTCATAGTTACAAATTCAACTCAATCTGATCGTGTCTTTAAATAACTTAAATGAAACTTTTTTAAATTCTAATATTCCATATTTATCTACGTAGGACAGGACCTACTTGTAGAACAGATTCAGTATATTTCGAAAAAGGTAGTTTCCTAGGTCAAAAATAAATAATCGACGTTTCAATACAATCTAATATTGAAATATCCATAATACTTCTTGCGTCAAACAGTTTACTTTAATTTTTTTAATTACTTAGCTATATAACAATGTGGATAATATTTAGTGTATGTCGATACACTAAATTATCGATTATTTTAATAAAATAAATAAACTGTTTGATGCAAAAAAATGACGATGAAATTTGTATAAAACTCCAAACTGTCATAGTTTTATAATTTTATAGAAAACGTATCATTTTTGACATTTGTATAAAAGTATTGAATTTGACTACCATATTGGAAACTACCGTATAATTATGGATATTTAAAAGGTCTTGTTGTAATTGAAATGGAATTGCTGAAATATTTATCTATCTAAGGCTCATTTACACGATACCATTTTCTTGAACAAACAGGAGCAATAATTGAACTTAATAAATTTGAGGCCCGTTTACATTAGGTATACATGCGAATTTTTTAGATCGTGCAAGTCAATATTGCTTTAATTAATTGTATGCAACAGACAAGAAGCTGGCATCGTGTAAATGGGGCTTTGATTTTTAGTCCATTTTATGTGAACGAGTATGTGAATTGGTATTTATTAGTTATATTAAATATTTTGTACAGCAAACAAGAATCGTGGATCTTAATAATAACGGCTATCACGTGTAGGTACCTGATTATATATGGATATTGTATGGAAACGCCTTCGGAGCGCAAATGCTAGTCTTACTTACTGCATGCTAGCTCTGGTTGTACCAGTTGCACAGGCCTACTTATGTATTGGTGTGTGTATTTTCACATTCATAGGACTGACTATTAGGAGTAGACGAAAGAGGCTTAAAGATAACCAAAGCAAAGGATTACACTGTTGTATTGTTTAATTGTGAAATTACATTTGTTTAAAAATTGCGATAAGTGGGATATTGTATAATGCAATTTCCTTTTAAGGGCACTCAAAGTCAATTCTGAAGTGCTGATGTTTAGATCGACGTACGTAAGTACATGTATAGGAGTTATAGGACTTACCTATATTTCAAAGTCTTTCAAATCTGTGTAAGATATTGAATGACTCCTCATTTTTTGTCCTTCGTTGTTACCGGTTTTTCAGAACTGTTTGTTCTAGAATGTCAAACAAGAAAATATACTTAGAGCTATTATATATATACATTGGCAAATGCATCGCATTTTTTGTAAACGAATAAATGTGTCGTATGGATTTCAAACTACTTAACAATAGGAATATTATTGTTGAATAAACATAGTTGAAAATTCGTTGTTTTATTTAATGATTTTGTCTGTGGTAGTTTTTTTTATGTGATCGGTCGGCAAACAAGCAAACGGATTACCTGATGGTAAGCAATCAGTGTCGCCCATGGACACCCGCAACGACGGAGGAGTTATGAGTGCCCTGCTGACCTTGTGGGGATTAGGGATTTGGAGATTTTGGGAAAGGGAACAGATTGGGGTAGGGGAAGAATTGGGTCTGCGGTAACCTCACTCACACGGCGAAACACAACTCTTTGGTTATTTCACGCCGGTTCCTGTGAGGCCGTGGTATCACTCCGGTCGAGCCGACCCATTCGTGCCGAAGCATAGCTCTCCCACACCAGGCACAAGCCCGCCGTAACATCCCAAAACATGATACAATGCATGACTGTGTCACAAAAGACCTTTAATCACCTTCATATAATACCTAGTAAGTACCCGATTTTAGTTCATCATACAAAATAACGTTCGAAAATTAAACTTATTTGGTATACTTACAGTGGCTATCCGAATTTCTGAGATTGGCCCTTACGCCTCATTTACGGAGATGGCGCGTTGCGTAGTTCGTCATACATTGCTCGTAATGTAAATATTTATGCTGGCTATGTCGCGGCCCATTGCTGCAATGTACGACGTACGAAAGACGGGCCGCGAGACGCCTTGTCTGAGCGTAAACGTGCCTTAATAGTAATTGAGTGTACGCCCGCTGTACACTATGTAATTACCTAAGTATTATATTACTATCTACACTGTCCCATTGATTTTCTCTTGTTTCGTGGGTTCGTTTACAAACAAACAATTTCACATAAACATCTCACCCAGACCCGGAACAACAATTTGTGGATTGTGGACACAAAGAGTCGTTCGGTACGGGCTTCGAACCCGCGGCACGTTGTGCGGCAGCCAGTTGCCCAGTCATCGTGCAATCAAGATTTGTAAAATGTATGCAATGATGAACAAATAAATAACCCTGTAAGGTTCTTCATATGTGACGGAATAGGCGTCGCAAAGGTATCATCGATCGCATAACCCCAGAATAGATAACATTTCACCCATACCACTACTCAGCAGAAAATGGGTAGGTATATATTGTAGGTATTAATTACAAACATATGTCACCGGAAAATAACAAGATCCGTAAGTTTATCAATTTACTAGGAAGTTTATAAACTTTCGTAAGATTCTAAACGGAAGATGAATTGTAATATTTTACGTCCACATTTTCGTAAATTGATAAACTTACTGAACTCACTCGTAAACTTACTAACTTAACCCGCAACGCCGGCTGAACATCAGCCCTATAGGGCCCGTCTGTGGTGAAATAATAGGGATATGAGGATTGGTGATGCGAGGAAAAGGTTTTATTGGATCTCTGTTAACCACAGTCACGAAGCGAAACCTAAGGCAAGCGTTTCACGCTGATTTTCTGTAAGGCCGTGGTATTGTTCGTGCCAAAGCATGGCTCTCTTACACACAATTATAGTTAAATAATACCTCTAAATGAATGTTAAGTTTATTCTGCCATTATTCCTATAGTATTAATTAGCAAACAGAAGTACTTACGTGGGCTCGAGGAAAATGGTTATCAAAAGCACAACAGCTAATGTTACGTAATAATGTAACTACATATAAGTATTATCCGCTTATGGTGTCTGCAACCATTGTAGGTACTGTTGCGTCCTATACTTATTATCTTTATTCTGATTACCTTAATTAGACAAATAATTAAAATATGGCAAATACATTTTTTTTAATTGGTCGGCTTACGTGACTACTGTTTACCTGATGGTAAGCAAACTGTCGGATATTTAAGGATTAGGGAGGGTTCCGGGGAGTGGAAGGTTGGGCCGCCGATAACCTCGCTCACACGGCGAAACACAAACGCTGTGGTTGTTTCACGCCAGTTTTCTGTGAGACCGTGTATCACTCCGGTCGAGCCGACACATTCGAGACGAAACTAGGCTCTCCCACACTTAATAAAAAAAACATCCGACCAACTACTTACATGACAACTCATTTTAAATAAAGTCGGATGATACTTAACTGACTACAGTTTTGCTTGAATAAAAAAAAAGTTTTATTTTGTATGGTCAAGCTTTGATTATTTTTTATTCACAGTATTTTTTTTTTGATTATGTGCATTATGTTCTCGACCTACTGGAGACCAAAAAGACTTCAATGACAAAAATATGTTATGCAGGTAGGAGAAACCCGTACAAAACCTGTCTGAATTTGGAAAGCAAGTTATAAATATACATAATATGTTGTATCTTGTTTGTTGAAGTGAAAATTCATTAAATAATCCTTGAACAGAAAAGGACGACCCGTGAGTGCTCTTGCTACGTTATACAAAACTAGGAGTTTGAATCTTAACCTTAGGTATATCGAGAGATGATCTGTAACTCGCCGCCCGACCAGAACCAGACCCAAGCGTACGGCGAGTATCGTCGCGCGCGTGCCTCAAAAAGCCAATAGATCATCAAAGACGGGGCCCTATAGGACTGATGTTCAGCCGAGGTTGCGGGGTTGGCGCAATGAGTCACCGTGACCCGGCCTGAAGCAGGAGAAGGAACGGAGGGGTTTTTAACCGGAATGAGTCGGACACTCTCTCGCCTCACCCTAGGCGATAAATAAGATGTTAAATGATTTTCCCCTCACAAAAAAGGACGCACCGATATATTTTATTGTTTCGGTGTTTATTGTTCGTCTATATAAAAACAATTTGACGATTTTCTCCAATTTTCCCTCACAAAAAGAAAACCTTGTATCGAATGGTAATTTTAACTAAAGACAGTCCTATTTGCACGAGATTCCTGTAGTTAGAAGGAAGACGTAGAATTTTAATTAATCGACCTCCTGTTTACTGTTTAGTTTAATAAGTTGCTAATGAATGTACCTATAACAAAACAACAAGCTTATTACCTATCAATACAAATTACCTAACTCTGTCTGTCTGTCTCTTCTTCACGAACCGATTTCTGTGATATTTGGTACAGGCATACTTTGGAAAAACTCGATAAAGGACATAGGATAGTTTTTATACCGAAAATCCTGCGGGAGCGGGAAATTCACAAATATCCCGCGACATCGGGAACTATGTAGGTAAAACAAATAATAAGTAGGAAATCACTATCCCACGCGAACGAAGTCGCGGGCAAAAGCTAGTTATTATATGTATAAGATTAAGTTCACACCGGCAATAATACTACTGATAAGAATATTTTTTTAAAAGAAAGATATATATGTATATATTATGAACGTCGGTATTATTTTAGGATTCCTACAATTGTAAATACAAATAGTTTTTTTTTTTAATATTCGTGCCCACTATTAGTGGAGCGAGAATGGGTGTCAGACATAGGTATACTGACTATAAACCACCCCTTCCTTCGCCTGCTATGAGCTGGGGCCGCGGCAGCATAGCGCTTGCACCCGCAACCCCAGCAGGTTGGATCGCTAGTTGCAACAAAAGTACATTAAATTATTTTTTTTAAATTGAACCATAACTGCATACGTATTATGAGCAAAATTCAAAGGACTTCAATCAATCGGTAAGTTTACCTCATTTGTCTAAAATAACACACCTTTTTTTGGGCAGTCGTGTGCCTAATAATTTCAAATATAATAAAATGAGTAGGTACCCTAGCAACTAAGCTCTCTAATTCCTCAGCTTTTGTAGTTTATTTTTATGATAATACTATGGCGTATAAGTACATAATATTTTGAATATGGAATGGATAAATGACGCGAAGGAATCTGGACACGTGTGCCCTTTATATTGAAGATGAGATCATAGGGAATATTGAAGGTCGTTCGTTAAAGTTCGTACGGGCTCGGTACATTTCGCGTTAGACGCTTTTTCGCTGCATGTTTGTGGGTTTGTTGAAAACTATTTTTTTGATCGAGCATGAACCATTTGAAGCTTGTGCGTCGTGGCTGACGGACAGTGCGGTCGCGTAGCGAATACGATCTCGCTAATCCGGTTTCAATAAGTGTTGTAAACAAATTTTAATCATTTTAAAAACCAGTTTTTCATCTCCAGTTTTGTTGTGCAAAGGTCAGACGAGTTTACATTATATTTTTATTTTATTTTTAAATCCAATTGTCAAGTAGCCCTAACAATATTTAAATTCAGATTCATACCGAAATTAACTTGAAAGCTGGCGTAGTGTTTTTTTTTTAATCAACGGTGTTTCTTGTGTTATAAGTCGAAATGTGTTAAATGATTTAACAATTTAAGAAAAATGCGGCCTTCTTTTATTTAAATTTGTGTTAATTTATTCAATAGAATCATAACATATCATCTAAACGTGTTCAAGCATGTAGGTGAGCATCATTTGCATCTTAGGAGACCTTACACATTGCCGTGTTTTAAAAGTTACTCAGTTTAATTAAAAATATTATTAGCAAATGGTATTGTCACTTATCGATTAGAAACTCAATGTTTACGACCGGTACACGAGCTTTACATAGCCTCTACACCTAGTTATACTATTTTAATTAGTAAATGGAATGTAATTAGTTGTTATAAACTAGATTACATAGTTCTGACCATGAGTATGTACCTAGGAACTATTTATAATGAATCAATTTTTAAGGGTAACCTAGAGTGCTTGTTATTTTTTTCTATTTAAAATACTTATTGAAATTTCTAATTTCGAACAGGCAAAAGTAGGCAGTCCATAAACGAAAAAAGAGGATTTATTATATATTTTTTAAGGATTGAGGATGAGTGGATTTACAAATCCCGTATATTTATTTACTCATTGACACGTTGTAAGACAAAAGTGTGGCGAAACGCAACCTATTCATAAAGAAATAATACTCTCCTAATATAAGAAGATGTATCTATAACATGAAAATAAACAGTTATTTATTCGGAATAATCGGAATTAGAAAACTACAATCCGTATAAATAATACTTAGATACACTTGATATTATTTATAAAAGTTAATAAAGTAGATTAACACTTATTTACAATTTACGAACGAATGCACATTGCAAATACATACTAGATAGGCAGATAGGTACTGACTGAATTGTTATGGGACTTCTTACATCACATTTACATGTCATCAGGTGTACAGTTACTTTGGTATTTTTATTAATTGTTTATACTTAAGTAAACGGTAACATTGACGTAAAGTTATTTTGGATTTTCAGAGCAACACATGAGTTATGTAGTAGGTATTATACCTATATATAGATAAGAACTCTTACGTTATAAATATCATTTCAAACTAGCTAGGTACGAATAAAATCTCAATCTGGGTCACGTACAGTTTAATAATTCCATTTTGATTGAAATTCATTCAATATTAGGAAGGTGCAGTGTCTATGATATTTACTAGTTAGTAATGGAGAAAACAATTAGAAGTTGGCAGTCACAGAAGGGATGAGTGCAGGAGTTATCACTACATAGTGTATCCCTATGTATGCTTATCTTTAAAACTAGGTACCAAACGCCTTTTGGTGCGACTTTTTTAAATAGATATATTATTATAGTGATTGACGAGGAGGGTTTATATGTAGGTACTTATATCTAATAACATCGCTTGTAAACAGTAGAGAAATTTAGTATCAGCGTTGAACCTGTGCAAAGCCGGGGCGGGTCGCTTGTGTTGTGAACTGTTGTGCCTATAAAATGTTGACAGGGACATTCATTAGATACGAGTAGGTATGTAGGTACGTGACTGAGGTACCTAGGTACCTTTTGAGTTATTATTCCTATTTTGCTTTGTTTTTTTTGACTAGCGATCCGCCACTACTTCGGACCAAAAAGAATATAAGCACTACGTTTCTTCGGAGGGGTGTTCAACTTTCTCGGTGTTAGTCATTTGCTTAGTCAGCAAGCCGATGCACTGAAAAAATTAAATTTAATTAGCTTAATTTAACCTAAGTTACCACATTAAAATTACGGTATCGGTCTTGCCATTCACGCGAAATGCCATGACCTGGGGAAATTGGGATTCATTTTTATCTAACCAATAACAAGAAAAAAAAATGTATTTTGTACAAATAAAACTAAATAAGTATGCGACTTCAAAATATTTTTTCCTTTTTTTAATTTTTTTTTAATCCTGTCTAAGAATCGTAGAATATACTTATAAATAATCTTAGAAAAGACAAGGAATACCAAAGAGGATATAAGTAACCACAAAGTGGTGGTATTAAGAAACACCTACCTACCTGCTAAAACTTAACTAACGCAACTCGTATGAAGTCGAGATGGGCCGCTAGTACATACTGTAATATAAGTAGGTACATACCTACCTATATAAAGATTTGATATCTTTCATAAGAAGCGATCTACGAGTTCTGTGCAAATTGATATTCGATTATGAATGTGTTTCGTCTGCATTGTAAGATTTGCGCGAATGTTACATGATACTTACTAATGCGAGTAGGTAAGTATGTATCTATAGGTAGGTATGTAACTTGGCTGGATAGACATACATACCTACCTACTCTAGATAGATAGGTATTTTTGTATACTTATCAAATAACGCGTTAAAAATTCAGGTTTAAGTAGTGATCCTTAAATATCCAAAACCCTAATCTCCAAAACTCCTAACTCCTTTGCTGTTGTTAGTGTTCATGGGCCAATTGCTAACCATCAGCTAATCTATCTGCTCTTTTACCGCCCTATTATTATAAATTCGAAAGTAACTCTGTCTGTCTTTTCATCACGCCTAAACTACCTACTGAACCCATTTCTGCGAAATTTGGTAGGTACAGACATAATTTGGAACTTGAGAAAGGACATAAGAAGTTTTTATACCAAAAATCTGAAGGAAGCAAGTAAAAGCTAGTATAAGAATACCTACAGCTAGTATAATAAATAAAGCTTAATAAAATGTAGTTTGTCAAAGGTGAAATAATTTTGGATATCGGCAAATTGGTTCCTGAGTTTATTCATTAGAAACAAACTTTACTTACTCTTAATATTTACACGAACCACGTTGTTGATAACTTTTATAACGTTTAATTCCTGTTCACATGCATATTACCTGCTGCGTACAGCTTACATTAATCATGAACATTTGTTTTTTTCAGATCAATCATGCAGAACGATGGGCTACCGCTGTATCCTTCCGATTTCAATACCCAAGTGCAGGTAATGATGCTTTTAACTTTCTTAGCGTTTTGTTGGGCATACATTCTAGCTTCAGGTAGTAGCTAGGAAAAATACCAGTTAGTGTATATTAGGGTCAATAATAGACAACTTCTGTAAGTAACGATAGGTTTCAGGTCTTCTAAATCTATAGATACATATACTGTACAGGGTACAGGACCTGCTATGAGCTAAGGTAGGTTATGTTGTACTTGTACTACAGTGCCTGTGATCTGTTGTCATGAAGCAGTTAACCTGGATTGTTTGCAAACAACCCCGGTTTATTGCTGTGGTGGTCTTATGGCTTTTTGAGGCGCGCGGAATGCTATACCGTGCAGTACGTCGGATGGCGAGCTGTCTTTGCTCGCTGTCAAAAGACCCGTGTAGCCTACTCTACATTAAAACAATTTAGAACCTACCAATACTGAATGTTTAAGAATGCTATTGTATTTTCTACAACATCCGCTGTAGGTATCAGCCCTATAGGGCCCGTCTGTAGTAGTCTCTTGGCTGCGCTGTAGGTCACACCCGCGTTATAGGTACCCGCTAGTATTTGTACATTTCCCAACTAGACTTTAAGCACTCCTTAAACTGCGATAAATCACTTAGGTAGCCTTGAAAAAATTAAAAACTCCCAGAGTAATTAATTAATTCCTTTGTGATAAAAACACATGTACCTACATAGTTGACTCCAGTGATGTCATGAATTATTCGATGTCGCGGCGCCTTGCCTCGTTTTTTTTATTTATTACAACCATTAACAGTTTTTCAACTAAGTAATAAACACGAAAGCTGAACTAGATAAAGCATAGCTATAAAGAACTAGGTACTAAACACCTCATGAGCCAAAAACAAAACAATCGCAAAACAATGAATTAATCAGTAAATCCTAAGATCAATTTTATTTAGAAATCTGTTGAAGACATTGTGTGTAATAATGAATTGTCTCATTAATTTAGCAGTTGAGTGAGTGTCTAAAGAAAACAAGTTATTCATCTTTGTTTTATCAAACAATCCTTCTGCGAATACTTGAGATGTTGACGCTGGTACCCACATATGTAGATACTACCTACATAAGTACATAATAGGAACATTCTTAGCATAATATGCAGAGCATTGCAACTCACACATACTTTTTACGGAATTAGGTGACACGGCAAACTTCGTTCTGCCTCAAAATTAATTAATGTTTTCTTATCCTTTAAGCCTTCCATGGACTTCCAAAAATATTTTAATGACAAAATTAACAAAATCGGACCAGCCGTTCGATTTTTTTCTCGATAGATTTATTGAGACTAACGCACATTTTAATTTTTATGTAATATTACTTATTATAAATTAGATTAGATAACAGATAGGAGTCGCCTACATTTTAGACGGAATGGGTATATGTACATTCAGTCAACAAAGTATCGGGAATGAATGTTTTTTTTTATGGTTCCAAATTCGAATTTTAATTTTTTTTTTGTTGTTGTTAGATTGGCATAACTGTTTTCCATTTTGGCGCGGAATTTGAGTTGCATCTGTTATTTATATTAAAAACAGTGCTGTTTTTAGTTTTATAATATCTAGTGTGTATTGCGAATTTCATAATGGACAAAAACATCGAACAAAGAATTTGTCTTAAATTTTGCATCGCCAATGTAATTTCGTGTTCGGAGGCACTCAAAATGTTACAGAAGGCTTACGGTGAATCGACTTTATCAAAAACACGTGCTTATGAGTGGTCAAAAGCGGTCGAGAAGTGATGGAAGATTTGCCTCGTTCTGGTAGGCCATCAACGTCTGCAACTGAAGTTAACATCGCAAAAGTGAAGGAAATAGTGACTGAAAATCCTCATTCAAGTTTGAGAGAGATGGCCGCCGAACTTTCTGTATCTCACGAGTCGATCCGTACCATTTTAACAAATAATTTGGGTATGAAACGTGTTGCCGCTCGGCTAGTCCCAAAAGACCTGAATTTTCTTCAAAAACTAAATCGCATGAAAGTCGCTGAGGACATGCTAGAACGAGTCAATACCGACCCAACATTCATGAAACGCATTGTTACTGGTGACGAGACGTGGGTTTACGAGTTTGACATGCAAACTAGTCAACAAGCTTCGGAATGGCGCCTTCCAACTGAACCAAAACCGAAAAAACCACGTCAAAGTCGATCAAAAGTCAAAGTCATGTTGACTGTTTTCTTTGACTATCGCGGTGTTGTGCACTCAGAATTCTTGCCCGAAGGTCAAACGGTAAATAAAGAATATTATTTGAGCGTTATGCGGCGTTTAAGAGAACAAATTCGACGAAAAAGGCCAGAAATGTGGAAAGAAAATTCTTGGATTTTGCATCACGATAATGCGCCTTCGCACAAGGCCATCATTGTACACGATTTTTTGTCCAAACACTCAACAAACACTATCGAGCAGCCACCATATTCACCAGATATGGCTCCAGCCGACTTCTTTCTTTTTCCCACCTTCAAATTACCCCTTCGTGGCACCCGTTTTCAATCGTTAGAAGACATAAAGGAGAATTCGCGGCGAGCACTGAACTCAATTCCGGAAACAGCGTTTAAAAAAAGTTTCGATGATTGGATTATTCGTTGGCGTAAGTGTATCGTTTCTGAAGGAGCATACTTTGAAGGTGATAAAATAAATTTAGATGAATAACAAACATTTTGTGTATTATTGACTTTTTCCAGGTACTTTCTTGACAGAGTAGTATAACCAGCTTCTGGGTTCAATTCCCGATTTGACGTAATAATTACTCTCTGTAATCCACATTTTTTTTTATAATTGGTTTCATGTGTAGGTACCTATGTGAAAATGCATTGTAAATCACCACACAGTACCTACCTACTAAAAATATAAACTACCACCTAAATAGTAAGTACTAATATACATTTGTATTAGGATAATACAATAGAAGAATTATTTTGTTGAGACTGTTTATTTTGTTACAGATTAAAAAGTTTCACCAGAAAAGCGACCCGTCCATTACAGTAGCGCAGCCGTTGGTGGAGCCCATGCCGCATGTGCCCCCGGTATTTATACACACTTCATATATATATGTCCCAGCTCTGTTTAACGAATATTATCTGTACCTATTTTAAAGATAAATAATAAAATGACTTCTTTTGATGGGACGAGGGGGAGTGTCAGACTCTTACTAATATCCACGCCGTCTTGCTACTGTTCCAGTCGAGGTACATTATTGCTTTTGACCCTCAGCCCACAACCCTGGCTAAAAACCAGTTCTATTGAGCCCCGTCTGTTATGGTCTGTTGGCTCTAAACCTCAAGCGAACGCCAGTTTTCGGGCACCTATTATATTTCGAATTACTACGATTGAAAGATTAGGCCACTAACCTAAGAAATAAAATTGCCTTATACTTATGCACTAATTCTTAATGTGTTGTAATTGAAGGTAGTAACCTACCATATGGTGATGAATCTCGGTACCTAATTGGTAGATATCCCACTCAATCAAGATTGTAGAAAAAAAACATCTTTATTAAAATCCTTTTGCGTTTAACGAAATTGTTAACTACCTATAAAAATATGATTGTTACCTAGATAATAGGAATTTTGCCTTTGATTTCAAAACTTTAATCGTTTCGTGACAATAGCTGTATTGTGCAATTGTTTCAGAAGCCTCTGCTGGGGCCTGCGAATACGGTGACGACTTGCCAGTTCTGCCACGCCTCCATCAAGACTGCCGTCAAGTACACCACTACTGCGCGCACGCACATGGCCGCGGCTCTCTGTGGCTTATTGTGGTATGTTGAACTTTAATCAAATGTCCATCGAGAATTAGGTTAGGTCACGATAGTAAAACTATACATTAAAGTACCTACTCATCGCTCTTAAAACATGGTAATTAGTGCAATTCCCAAATCGCCCGCAAAGCGTAGATATTATAACCAACTCCGTCCAAAGGTTTTCATAAAAAACTGCTGTTAAACATAAGCGGCCTTATTGCAAATCAAATTCTTTATTTTAGTTTTCTTTAGTCTAGGTAGTTATAGTAAAAGTATAGGTCTAAGTCTAAACCATTGAGCCAGCTTTTGTATTTCAAATTGAAAATAGGTGGGAATAAGATTCGAAATAAGAACAAAACCTGCCTTAAACGGCTTAAACATAGATTAAATAAATTGTTCGTATTGGCATTCCAAATTTAATTTTGAATTGTGAATAAAAAATACAACGTTGTCTATAAAAAACAATTGCCATAAGACAAATTGTAAATGCGTATATTTATTTGTTTCAGTTGCCTGTGCTGCGTTCCGTATGGTTCTGATTCAGCAAAAAACACCGACCACTATTGTCCCAACTGCGAGAGATACCTCGGCACATACGTCAAGTAATTACAACGATGTGAAATAGGAGTCACATTTTACATACATTTATTTTTTTATTGTTACGCTTAAGATACAGATGCCTTATATTATATTAAAAATATCTTTATTTTAGTAATAAATCGATAAGAGAAATATGTTAAAACAAACAAGACTTTGATCTTGATCCAAAATCTTGAGTTACCCGATAAACTTTTAATGATTAAGTAAGCGGAATTGACCCAGTTGTTTTCACATATGTTTAATTGGTATTGTGCCATATTAAAAACAAGTACCTATAGCAAATAAACTGTTGAGCAGATAGTTTGGGATAGATAGAACATTTATTTTAGGTAAAACCTACACATAGTTACAGCGCTTGTATTTTTTGAAAATAAATATTGAATTACAATAAATTTCTTGTTTTTTTTGGGTCAGGGGAAAATCATTAAATGACTTCTCCCGCCCACAGTGAGGCGAAAGGGAGTGTTATATTCTTACTGACTAAAAACCTCGTTCCTTCTACTGCTTTAAGACTAGGCCGCGGTGTCTCTTTGCGCTTAACCCGCAACCCCGGCTGAATTAGAATACATGGGTGTCTTATTATTTCTGTGACAACTAAGAGTAAAGAAAACACAAGATGTTAATGATATATTTATGTATATTACACTTACAATAGAGTGTAGCAAAATATTTGACTACATGAGAGGATGTACAGTGCGTATGCGCAGGGTTTGTGTTCAGGCGACGTATTGGTTGGTGAGTGCGCGGAGGAGTCTGGCGCGGCGTATGGCGGCGGCCTCGCGCTGGATGTCCTCGCTGTTGTTGGCGTTAAGCTCCAGCGCGCCGGCGGCCCTCACTGCTCGTGCTCGCCGCCCCCCTTCCCCCCGCCGCGCGTGCAGTGCCACCGCTACTTCTAACAGCGTGCCGTCCCATATACACCCATAGTACCCGTCCATAGCGTCCGCTGCGTTACCCGTCTGATAATAAAACAGTTCATGTATAAGTCCAAGATAGATCTTATTTTTTCAAAAATACCCCTATATGGGGTGCTAACAAAGAGCAACCACCATTTTCAGTCACATGTATTGATTTAAATGGCTAAAACTATATATCATCAGCTAAACACAAAACATAGCTGTAGTAACCAAATCTACACTGTTAAGACATTCAAATATTAACCTCTTGTCTGCCGGTATATGACAAATAATAGAAAACACATTGCCTCGTGTGGATCCGCGCTCGTACCACGGGTTAAGGAATCTTAGCAAAAATCATATGTTATAAGCAGATTTACCTTTTCCGCAAGACACTTGAAGGCAGTGGTGTAGTCTGGCTCGTCGGGTAGCTGGCAGAGCGCGGCGGCCTGCGTGGGCGCGGCGAGGGCCTGGCAGCAGCGCGCGGCGCGGCGCGCTATGCTGGCCTCATCGGGCGCGCGCTTCGCGAAGTGCCACGACCCGGCCGCCGCGCCACACAAGTATCTGCGCAGAGCTGCGCCCCATCTACCCTCTGCCATCTCCACATCACCGTATAGACGGAGCCTGGTGTATATAATATGCTTATTAGTTACTGCCAACAATTTATGCACGGTTAATGTTGTGGCTGGGCAACTAGCTGCGGCGCAACGTGCCGCAGGTTCGATTCCCGAACAGAACAACTCATGGTGAGATCCACAAATTGTTGTTCCGGGTCTGGGCGTGTCGTGTATGTAAAATTGTATGTTTGTAACGCACCCACGACACGGGAGAAAATAGTGTGGGGCAAAGTTTAAAAAAAATCCTCCGCGATCCTAGGATAAAAATCAACGTCTAATGCCGATTATAATGTTTCTCTGTGCCTCATTTCGTACGTTAAGTTGATTTTGCATGAATTAAAAAAAAACGTTCATACATCGTCGCATATACCTATATTTCTATTTCTATAGAAGAGTAGAACAAACACTGACTATGACTCAATTCAAGAATTAAGTTGATAGAAATCGAATATTTTGACGAAATAACGGTGTTGCAGGACGTTTTAAGAATGAATATAAATATATTTCATTTAGTTATTTGGTATTGGAATGTCAAATACGGCTCAACAGAACTTGTTTCGAATTAATTTTACAGATAACGGTGTTGTTTTTGCATTCCGCATAATGCTACTGCGAACGACCTGCTTCGGTTGACTAAAGCGGAGAGATTACCGTTGTTCAACTTGGTGAGAGATCATTTAGCTGCTCAGTTACATAAGATACGCCTCCATAGTTTATCGACGATTTATCGGTTGAATAAGTAAGTGTTAAAAATCATAAAAATCGATTGACTGTAAAATATAGTCTACAGGTCGCTAGTGTGACCGTCTAATTTTTATAACAGGTATTTTTTTTGTGAAGGTAATGTCATCAAATGACTTCATCTCTCCCGCCCAGGGTCGGCCGGGAGAGAGTGTCAGACTCCTACTGACTAAAACCCCCCTGCCCACTTCCTTCTCCTGGTCTAAGTCGAGGCCGCGTTGCCCCATAGCTGGGGTTTGATATCAAAACATTAGGATCCCTGACTGTATGGGCAAACGTACATTTATTTTGTTTTATATAAGTACCTAATTAATACTTAATGACACAGCAGTGGACAGATCAGTCACGACGTCAGACGGAGGAGTCACGAGTGCGTTGCCGACCTTTTAGGGATTAGGGATTTCGAGAGTCAGGGATTGAGGAGGGATTGGGGGAGGGGAAGGTTTGGGCCTCCGGTAACCTCACTTACATGGCGAAACACAACGCTGTGGTTATTTCACGCCGGTTTTCTGTGAGGCCGTGGTAACACTCCGGTCGAGCCGACCCATTCGTGCCGAAGCATGGCTCTCCTACACTTAACATATTTATTATAAAATTCTAATAATATTATAAAGCTGGATAGTTTGTTTGTTAGAACGCGCTAATCTCTAGAACTATTGGTTCGAATTGAATAATTATTTTTGTACTTGTTAGTCCATTTAAGGATGAAGGCTTTAGGCTTTAGAACATCACGCTACGACTTGTAGGAGCTGAGCAGCGAGTGACAGTAGCTAGTAGTTTTTTTTACATCGGAGATATAAATCCCACCATTGATATTTATTGTGCTTTAATTATTTGTTGTGTGTCGCAAAACCCGTAAACTAGCTTCCTTTAATAAATACAAATAACTAAAGTAGCGAATACCAAGTGAGTTACGCGTCTGTTTTTGTCTAATAAAATCGGGCGTTTTCCTCAGTCAATAACAAATTATTTTAACTTTTGAATACAAAGGAAATCGTTATTATTATTTTAGTATGTATGCTATTTGATGCAAAAAAAACGATGACGTCACAAGTCTGTATCTTATAGAAAATTATTATTTTAGATATTTCTCTAAACGGCCGGGATTGCGGAGTAAACGCTGAAGCACGGCGCCCTCGGCCTAGAGCAGGAGAAGAAACAGGGGGTTTTGAGACAGTAAGAATCTAACACTCCAGCCCGACTTCGGGCGAGTGAAGCCAATTGATGATTTTTCCCTCCCCAAAAAAAGATATTTCTATAAAAATACTAAATTTGACTAGTCAAATACCGTATTACCTCATTACTTGCGATAAAAAATAAAAAAGTGAACTTACCATGCTGTATTATACGGATATAATTTCAGACTCCTTTCGAGTAAATCGGTGAGAGATTCCAGAACGAACTTGGCATTGTAGCTATTTGTGTTGGAGATGTTGTTGGGCCAGAGGTTGGTGTAGTCTACCACTAGTTCTAGGGAGGGGTCGTCTATGAGGAGGTTGTGTATCCTGGCCAGGAGAGAGAGCATCACGCTGACTGCGAGAGGTTCTCGAAGGGTTGAGAGGAACCCGTTGAATGCGTTCCGTGCTTCTGCAGCGGCGCCCGGCGCGTCCCGCGGGTGAGTTGGTGCTCCGCCCGCGTTCCTTTTCACAGGCCCAGCCGCCCCGGTGGCGTATACACTCAGAACTGAAAGGTATCATAATCAAATTAACATAAACATTATACAGAACTGGTGTTAAATAAAAATAATGACTTTTGAGTTTTTTGATCGTTCCATGCCAGATCTATATTCAGAACCGTTAAGAAGTGGAATTATTTGCCTGTGTGAATAGGTTGGTAATGGGTAGGCTTGTTCCATCGCAGGTCGCATCATTGCTTACCACCAGGCATGATAGCGGCCAAATGCCTGACCATTGCGGAAACAAAAAAAAATGTTTGTGACCTGTCACTGGCTGAACTATTACTATTACGGAAAAAACAAAATTGTCTATGGATGTAGCTTTGTTTATAAATATAAAATGTTTTGAATTTTACTTAGTGCAAGTCATCGTAATCTCACGACACTACTAACCAAGATCCCATAAAGGTCTAGGAAACTTCCTCGTCGCTTTGCCTCGTTGTAGCTCGAAGCAGGCAGCGCAGAGTGCTGCCGCTACCTCACCCGGTCCAGTCGTGATGCCCACTCCTTCCCACTCGCACGCATTTATCAAGCATATCCAGCATGCTTCAATTACCTGGCAAAAATACAAAATAGCCTCAGAAACAAAACGTGAATTTTCAGCATTGCTGCTGGCGTGGTGGCTGGGCCGTGGGTTCGATTCCCGCACGGAACAAGTCTTAGTGTGATCTACAAATTCTTGTTCCGGGTCTGGGTGTAGTGTGTATGTGAAATTGTATGTTTGTAAACACATTCACAATACAGGAAAAATTTCTAGTGTAGGGCAATGTTTTTTTAAAAGCAATAAGCACAGAATGCGTAGAGATGGACATAGAGCATACCTAAACAAACATATTATAGAATAACTAACAGATAAAGAATGTGCAAGCTCACCTGCGGTCTAGGAACGACGCCATCGCCAGAGTTGACAGCAGCGATACAAGCTTTGCACTTGTTGGCCAGCACCGACAGGTTGATGCGGTGGTGGGGCCACTCGCTCAGCACCACGTTAATCTGTAGCAGCAGCACTTCCCACGACAGGTGGCGACACAGGCGGTACAGCGTGGGGTCGTTGCCCCCGCCCAGCTGGCTGCGGGCCTCGCCCTCCAGCACGGACAGCAAGGACAGCGCCGCGCGAGAGCATCCTGCCTCAGCCCGCGCCCGCGCCGCCCCCGACACTACGTAACCAAAGTCCTGCAGGAACCCTCTAGGCAACGATATCAACGCGTTACACAACTCTCCCGCTGGCTTCCATGACGGACTGATCTTCCACAGAGGCGTAGCCGGCGCCATCATAGCCAATTTCACCAAACACATTCGCACTTCGTCTGCCGTCGAAGCCTCAATGAGACGCTTTTTCAATCTACCCATTTCTAACTCCGGCACAGTCTTACACTCGAAGTCAGGCATTTCCCAATCATCAGTTAGTAATTCTTTAGGAATATCCATGTTCTCATCGTCGATGTTGACCGGGTCATTCAGAATCGTTTTCAACTGTTCATCGGATATTAACTTCTTCCTTATTGTTTCTGCTGACTCCCCAATGTGTTTCTTTAAATATTCATCAATCCTCTCGATTGGCAGTCTGCTCTGTGATATTGCTAAATGTAGGTAAAAAGTTCTCAAGTTTTCCCAATCGGCTTCTGACAAGTCGGACATTAAAACAGGAGCGAGCGCCCAGAACAAAAGGTCGAAAAACTTGATGCCGACTGTTTTAAACTTGTTTAAGAAGTCTTGGTGAGTTGATGGCAAGCCACCCTCAAGGGCGTATCTGACCGCATTTAGCGCAGATACTCTGTTTAGGAGATCCCGCGCCACAGTAAAAGCCCCACTGGAAGCTGAACCTTGAATATCAAGTTCGACAACTTGTCTATGAATCATTGGGATTTCTCGCGTTAAGTTATCTGCTTGTAACACGGCGATAATTCCCGTATAGTGATTCGCTATGGAATCCTGTAGCTTTTGTAATAACGAGGGTTCTTCATTTAACACTTCAAAACCCAAATTAAGTGCTCTGATATATCCTAAGATATCATCCTTGGCCATGCTTGCGTAATAAAATTCTCCCCAAGGCATTTGCTTGTGGGGCCCGTAGCCATAGATCGATATTTCCCTTTCAAGAAGGTTTGAGTTCTCTCTACAGCCAAGTATGTGTTTCTTGGCCAAATTATGTTGGCCATAGAAGAAATAGTTGTAGCACAGGTCAAAATGTATTTGCATGGCTAGTTCATGCTGGCTGATTTGAACATTACCAGCATCCCAATTATGGTTCATGTCACAAGAGTCTTCAGTCAAGTGGATAAATGTTTCCATCACAGGAACTTTAATTTTTTTGGATTCTTTCCGGCCTGTACTAGATGTAGGCTCATAGTACGATAATATTTCGTCTAAAAACATAATACTTTGCATTCGCGAAGCTTCACACATTCGCAATATTTTCTCGAAGTTTTGGTTCAGCGGAGTGTAGGCACTGTCTAGCTGCATACCAGGTCTGTTATGAAACAAAAATAAGTAATTCTTAAGGTCAAACACAAAAAACTATTTATTGTTTACACTAATTCATTATTGTAGGTCCAATCCTCCCCCTATCCACAACTCCCGAAATCCTTTAACTCACAGTATGTCGTGGTGACCCGGAGGTTAAGGAGCCCGCTTCTCATGCATGAGGGTGTGGGTTCGAAACCTGGCAAGTACCAATGTGACTTTTTCCGAGTAATATGTACTTTCTATAATTATTTAGACAACACTGACATACGGTGAAGGTAAACATCGTGAGGAAACCTGGACTTATAATTTCTAATTGTAAGTTTGAATTCGCCAACCCGCATTGAGCAAGCGTGGTGATCAATGCTCACCTTCTCCGTGTGAGAAGAGGCCTTTGCTCAGCAGTGGGCACTTATAGGCTGATGATGATGATGATGAGGCGACGCATTTGAAGTAACTCATTTTTATTAATTGCTTACTGTCAGCTAAACCGTCTACGCAATTGCCCACCCATCCCATAAAAAAAAACTAGAAGTAGTATAATAGGTATGACTTGTTACATAAATTACTTACATGTGAATGTAAGACATTTTGTTGGACTTTGCATAGAGTGCTGCCTTCACTGGGAAGCGAACCACCCATCTGTGGTACAACACCAAAGCAAACTGCACCTGTGGTTGTTGCAGCAACTCAGCTGGTATTTCCTGAAAATAGCAAACACGGATTTTAGTACTTTGGTAGAAATACTTTATTTCATGAATCAAAATAATTTATTACAACTAAACTTTAAGATAAAAATGCTAATATAATTGTCAAAATACGAAAATTTTCGTTCTCTTCTATCTGAGATGTACTCAAATTCAGAATTTGGTATGGAAGTATAAATTGTCTCAATCTTTTTTTCTATACTAATATTATAAAGAGGTAAAATTTGTAAGTTTGTATGTAAGGGGTAATCTTTGTAACCGCTGGTCGGATTGACAAAATTCTTTCACTGATAGATAGCTACAATGTGCCTGAGTGCTATAGGCTATAAAACATCATGCTACAATCAAATGGATCTGAGCAGTGGGTGAAACAGCGCGAGAGTAGCTAGTGTATGATAAAATAGTAGTAAGTATAGTCTATTATTTTAATCTGCCCACTGTCACTTGAAACCATTAGCTCTCCGCAGTTAATTTATATGAGTAAGTGGTTATTTTTAATAAATTATCTCACTCTGTCTCTTTAAACTATTTTTTGAAAACATTCACAGTAATGTTAGAATACTTCTAAGATTAAATGAAAAAGATATCTCCTTCAAATTATGTATTGTTAGCACCATCCATAGAAACCCGAAGAAACATTATGTCACAAGTATTTATATCAAAAGATACATTACCTGTGGGGGTACAGCAAAGGCAGCATCAGTTGACATGTACACCAGATCCTGCATTAACTGTTGTTGTATCTGTGGTGGTAGCTTGTTCTCAAATATATCTGTAAATCAAAGACAATATATTTGTCTCTATTGGATGACAAGGAAATTTTTGATTTACTATTATGACCTTACAATGTATTCATGTTTTGAAAGAATGCATACATGTAAACTAAGTTTGCAAAAGTAAGTTTAGCCTTAAATCTAAAAATAAAAAGTTAACAAAAGCAAAGTCATGATTCGCAAACACAAACTTAGGGCTTGCTGCTACGCCTTTATGTAAGTAACCCTTTTATTTATACAAATTTTATTCTTTACAAACTTCACCTGTGCTGTTTTACCTTCTACTCGGCTCTTATAGGGCATGATGGTTTTTCATAGTTGTTTATATTTTTCGTATCAATAAAAGGACTACCTATCCAATAAAAGAGATTTGTTCATATTAAACCAGTAGTTTCAGAGATTATCATGTTCAAACAAACAACCTATTGAGTGTTATATAGTATAGATTCAAAATTCATCTGATACATCATTGCTACCCAGAATAAGTGAGGAAAGAACCATAATAAATAAAAAGACATGTAAAATTAAATAAAGAAAATAGATAGTTACCTAAATTCCAATGTAATGTGGAAGCAACTTTCAGAGCTAGGATCTTGAGGGCCAGTTGTTTTCTTGTGAACTGTGCTGGTGCTGGGGTGGTGGCTGATGGCGGGGTCGGTGGAGCATCCACGTCCACCACGCGTTCACTAGTGGGCTTGTTTCCATTCTTCGTGTCCACTGATAGAAACTCTTCTATTAACTCACAGGCTGAAGGTTCTGTAATTATATTGCAAGTTTAAGTGAGATATGGTTAGAAAACAATAAGAGTAAGTACAAAAACGTCATATTTACAAATACATATGTATATACTGATACTTCGTATATTTTTGTTACAGAGAAGTCTTTGATTGTTCTTATAAGATAACTTTTACTTACCCGGATTCGTTTTACTAAGATGCTTCTTTAGTAAATTCGGGTCCAGAAGAAACTCGAACCATAGAATCGTGTCAGGAGATATAGGCACAGTGCCTGGTCGTAACAAATCTACATCCATTGTTTTTATATTACAATTTTATAATTTTATAAATTCACACAATGTTGTTGCCACTGCGGTTTTTAAGAATATTATATTTGCTTGAGGTTATTTAATTTTTTTGTTAGTAAACGAATTGAAAGACGTGTAGGAATAATATAGCCGCATCACAATCACAAAAATACTGATCGAATGACATTTTATATGACTTGTCAAATACATGCGTCCCTGACAGTTAAATGTGACAGCTAATCGTCAACGTCAATTATATGAATGTTTTTTTTTATTTGAATACAGACCTTTTGACACACTGAATGTTAATTCAACATTTTAGCGCGAAATATTCAAATCAGCCTTGTTTTAATACGACAAGGCAATAGTGTGGGGAACATCGGAAAGATAATTTATGATGAAATAAATTTATGATATAATGTCATTTACCACATTTCTAAACGGTTGCCCCATGTATTTAAAGCTTTTATTTAATTAAATTATGTTAATTAAATAAAAGCTGCAAATATTTCCGGAGTCTCAATATTGAGTGAAACAATACTATAATTTAACACTATTGCAACTTTACTGTCTCACATTGAATCGGATTCTGTAACAGTCTTGTACCAATTTTTAAATATTGATGTATTTGCTGTTTGTAAAAATGATGTAGGTTAAAGATAAGAATGATGTTTATTTTGGATTCAAGCGTCTGTTTCTATAAATATTTGAAAACATTCCTAAGCAGGCACCTACAAAGTACCAATGTTTTTGTTCTGACTTGTAAGTTTTATAGGAATTATATACGTAGGCACCTGTTATCTATTCGATAAGCAATATCGACGCTTCATTGATAGGTACAAATACTGTTTAGTTTAGGAAGTTGCTCTATGTAGTAGTGACTGAGTAAATATTTTTGTGTTAAGTGTGAATACCGAAGTACATAAAAATCTTAGTACTTACGTTGTGATTAACAAACGTTTATCAATAATCTTTCATAGATCACCTTTTGATTAGTGCTTGGTAGTAATCATACATTCCTATATTGTACGTGAAGGACTTATCAGTGACACTTGAACATTATCACCCACGGCGTATTTTCTAAACAAGTGAGTTTTTCATATTGTGTAATAATTTTATGTTTTATTTGCTTTAAAACAAATGTGCCTGAATAACTGATCAATTATTCATCTATCACAACATTCGAAAAAAGGGTACAACATTCTAATGATTTTTCCACGTTTTTCTTTGTATTACACAATTTAATTACGTTCTGTAGATAGGCTGTTTTAGGTACTACTTACATTTATTTTCTGGATGTACTATGCGATAACATACATTTTATTATTACTTAATTACTGAATTGTAACTTTGCTGGACTTTAATTAGGCAATTACTTGTTTATTTTTTATAAGAAAAACAACGTTAAACAATTGTTAGTGTTGGTGTTTTCATGTCGTGGTAAATAGGTATCTACCTAAGTGGTTTTTTTTTGTGAGGGGAAAATCATCAAATTACTTCTCCCGCTCAAGGTGGGGCGGGAATGTCAGACTATTATTGACTAAAACCTCCCGTACTTTCTCCTGCTCTAGGCCGAGGTTGCGGGGCCGTTAAATGCATGAATAGTGTATATAAGTATGTATGTGAACCATGCAGAGAAAATATACCTAGCTGATTTTCCTAGTTCATTTCTCTAATGATTAAACTATCAAGCTAAGCAGCCTCATTTTTTAAGTAGGTACCTTAGTCACAAGAGAACCATATTTACGACTAGAACCATGTGTGAGAAACAGTCTATTATAAATACATTGCCTAAACCTTATGTATGTAACCTTGCAGTGGAGTCAAACAATGCGTATCAACCAATATCCACGATCACGGATAATACGGCGGGCATCGAGATGGAATTGCTGCAGGTCGGCTCGGAACCGGTCGGCGTACGGTGCCCATATTGCTATGAAGACGTCATGACAAGAGCTCAATATAAAAACACCACACTGACGCACACGATTGCCATAATTTTAGGAATATTTTTTTGGTAAGTAATTAGATAGCTAACTTTATCAAAAATAATTTATAAGTGAGTACCTAGCTTATTTTGTAATTTAATTTCCGGTCTGTAATTTAATCTTTCAAACGTGGTAATTCGAGACTCAATAGAATAACAATAGGTGCGCAAACGCCTGCGTTCGCTTGGTGTTTCACGAATTAGTTAATAGGACTGCATTTTTTTCTGATTCACGACGGATTCTGTTACAAAGTTTACTAATGAGCTAATATTTCTTTCTATGAATTCTTGATTACTAATGAAGTAGGTAGGTACTTGATTGAGTGCGGTCAACAGCCCTTGTTCTACCGGTTGATTCATACATTGACTAAATACGTATCCATAAATACAGTTAGTGTTTATGACTTAGAAATGATCGCTGATGTTACGTGCCGTTTTGCACATGTCTACGTATAAGCAGTCGAAATAACCAGGGTTGCCATGATAAATGAGGAACGGGTGTGTCTGATCCTCTATTAAATATGCCTACTATACTCTAATAATATTTAATATAAACAAATGAGAATTTACCACATTAGTTTTTGTCAAAAGCCTCGATCGAAAGTTTTTGGAGAAGATTGGTTACTAATTTGGGTCGGTCGCATTATGTATATAAAAATTAGCCGTAGTACCTAATATCCTGCTTTAAAAGTAGGTAGGTATTTTCGCTTAAACATTCGTTGCGACGGTAAACTAATTTTTAAATTCAGAATACGAGTAGGTATCGAGTAGGAATGAGCACGCAATTAAAAAAAAAAATAGTATCAGTCGGCTAATTAATTGCGAGAATTGTACTTACATCTTGAACTGAAAGTGAAAATATTCTTGCATAGCGGTATAGTGGCTTACCACTTTTCTGTTAATGTATCTAATTATCAATTGTCCTTCTTATTGAGCCTTACGCTACTAACGCTCATTAATATTGTTGTACTAATTGCACCCACATCTGAACATACACTACTTACAAAGACTGCGTGTGTGTGTGTGTGTTATTTTATTTCTTTTAAATTCATATGTCTATGTGAAAAAAAAAAAATAGAAACGTTTCAAGGTTATGGTTATGACAATAATGTTCTTCGATTACAGGTGGTTGTGTTGCTGCATCATTCCCTACGTCGTGAAAAGATGGAAAAACGTAGAACATTATTGCCCCAACTGCCGCAGGTATTTGGGCATGCATAGCAGTAGAGCGACCATATTGTGAGATACATGCATTTCTAAAGCTTGCACGGTCTGACGCCACTACGGCGAAAATGGACTTTACGACGACGACATAAAGCTGGTGTGCAAGCCGGTTTGTTTCGAATATTCTGTTCTATGGATGTGCAGTTGGAACATTTGGTTCTACATAAATTATCTTGATGTGTCGTTTTGTATACGTTATACTTCTTATTAGTATTTAAATAACTTTGTTTACGACATAAATCATTCACTAGACCGAAGTCTGAAAAGTACTTTGAGATTTTTTTTCTAGATAGAATTAAACTTCCAAGCGTTGTTCGGAGGTAAAATGTTTACTAGGTAGGGATTGTAGAAAGACAAAGATACATGTTCAACTATTTATTTATTTAACTAAGTAAATATAAGTAGAAATCGTAGAAAAGCCCTTGAAAAGTATATCACAGAATGAAATATACAATATTATATAAAATTATTTTATCGACGATACTTTTTATAAGTAATATTAATTTAGTTTTTCACAATAATGTACTTACTTAGGATTAAGATATTATCTATACATTAACATTAAATAAATTATAAATTCGACAAGCATTTGGTCAAAAGATAATATATAATTATTGTTATATCATTCGAGCATTTTTATTCTGAAATGCAGCAATGGGATATTTTGTTTGTCTAACTATCATAATATGTAGGAACAGATCTATACATAACTATTTTATAGAACTTGACACATATATTTATGGTTCCAAATTTAAAATACATAAAATATACAATACATAGCCAAATATTTTAATCAGCAGAATCATTCTGTTTACAAGTATTTGTAATGCATGCCTAATTAAAATTTAACCGTTTGCAATGATTTCCTTATTAAGAAGTAACTTATGATTTTTAGCGTAGGCAATAAAATAAGATGTTAAATAAACCAACTGGCTGAATGGATTACTTAACTATTGAGAATTTGAGATACATCACATGAGATTTTATATTGCAACACATAAACCTCTAATATCCTATTAATCTGACTAGAAATATAAATCAGTTGCTCAAAGCGATTACAGCGCCACCATGACAGATGTTTCATTTTTCTAGTCAGTTAAAGTACCTATAATTTATTCTAGAGTATTTAAAAAATATATATAAAAGTTCGAGTTTGGGTAAGTTGTAAGTATAAGATCAAGATGGTGTGAAGGAACCGATTAAGGCTTTGCATTGGGGACAATAGTGGTTGGCAGTCTTACAAGATCTCATGCAGTACGGCACGAAGCAGCCGCAACAGCATCTGAAAATAAAACAATACTATAAGTCACAGTGTTACTATAAGGAATAAGTCAGTTTCATTTTTTATAGATTTTGTGTGTTGTAGAAGATCGTGGAAGGTTATAACCTCTCTCTTCTCTCCGAGTAATGCCCTCCAAAGGCCAAACACACAAAACTGTGTCTATGAGACACTAAGGCCATGTTTATGCACATGTGCGGCGTTGCGCAGCTCTTTATGCTTTTGTCATATATTCCAGCAGCAGACCGCGTCCTCGTCCACGCAAATACAATCACATGAACATTATAAGCTATGTATGGCGGAAGGAAAAAATTGTGAATGTGATTCATAGTCCATAAAAATCACGTTCTGTATTCAAATTTATCTCTATCCAGACAATGTGAAAAAAGTCTTAGGAAACCTTGCGTAGACCATGCCGTATACCTACTTACAATGAATTTTAAGGAAATGACCAGTTCAAATTTCGAACAAATTATCATATAAACTCGTTTCTCAATTTACTTTTCCTTATAAAAGTATATTTTTTAAAGTGATGACGTCAAAGATATTCGGCGTCGCTTATCATTGTTTAACATTTAAGTCGGGTGTTTAACCTAATAATCTAGTGATTGCCGTATGTCGCCCGTTATAATTGCCCTTTAACTATTGTCGAAAATAAAATTCTAATCATGATAAGTATGTATGTGTTGTCTTATTTATAGGTATTGAGTAAAATTGTAAAAGAGATAATGGACCGCTTAGTTGGTCTCTGGTAACAACTGGTTGGTACTGGTGTGTCAGTTATAGTTTAAAAAAAAGTAAGCAATAATTTTGACATGTGATCCAATTTCAAAATATTCGATCACGCGGCGAGAATCACGCCTTGTCAAATCAAAAGACAATTTCTATGAATAAATACGGCAACTAAAGTTTGTGTTGCATTAATTACCATTAGTCATACGAGTACAGAAACCAGTTGTGAAACGTATCAACGAACTTAGAACTTGTTTATTACATGACGTACACACAAAAGAAGTTGTTTTGACTATAAATTTGTATAAATCGGTGTCAGAAAAACGTATGAAATAGGAAAAATCCGGGAATTTATCAGATGACCCAAAACGTATTAATAAATATTATGTAGGTACAGATATTTGAACTAGTACAGTAGTTGTTCTTGTATGTAGAGTATATTAATAAATGTTATCGGAATAAAGCTTACCCGGCTAGAACGCACAGCGCGGCTGATATAATGTGTGTGCGGTTGTTTGGGACATATTCAACAGTCGTCACGATAGATTTGTTACAAGTGGGGCAAGTCGTGCCGGTCGGCCCAGGGCCCATCTTGGCTGGACGGGACCCTGGTGCGGGGCCCGGTGTCGTAATCACTGTAGTCCGCGGCCCAGCGGTTGGAGGGACCACCAAGCCGGGTGGTGGTGGAGGATTGTCACCAAAGTACGATGGCGGTGGGGCAGGATTCGGTCTTGTTTGTTCGTAAGGTGGCGGAAGACCCATCTTGTTCTCCACTGAAACATAACAAACATATAATTAGTATAAGCTATTCATACCCTATTTTGCGACATGATTAATGCGGTTTTAAGGAATCACCATTAAAGCAAATGTTCTACAAAGTACCCAATTTGAAGCTGCGATATTCGGGTCAAGTTGCAAGTTTCTATTGCAGACCTTGTTAATTTTTTCTAGTTTGCTTAGCGTTGAAATAAGCTAAAATAATAATTGGCGTTTGGAAATGATTGCTTGAAACAGTCATTTGCATTTTTGTTTCTACATCATTAATATCAAAATATTGCGAAAAGTTTATACGGCTTTCTATATGTTTACAAGGCAATGAATAAATAAATTTATGTAGAATCAATAAACGAATTCTCTAAACAGATAATCGACCTGATTACCAAGACCGTTATTGTAATAACGATGCTTCTGTTTGACAACGGTTGGCACATACCTGATAACTGCTTCGATATTTTTATCGTTATTACGAACCAACAAGGCTTGCTAAACCTTCATTAAAGAATTTTGAACGGTTACTTAATTGAAGGAAGAGTTTGCAAACGATTAGTGTCGGTCTGTTTTAGTGTTCTACTTTACTGAATCATTTTTTTGTTTATGATAGTAGATACATGTAACATCGAATGTAACAACACAATTCTGAATAATGCTAGTTTCGCGATAAATATTTGAAATTTATTTCGTTAATTGAATTCAAGTAGCCTTGTCCAAGAAGGCCAACGTCGGAAGAAGTAAATACAATGACTAAATTATGCGTGATTTACATGTAACATGATGTTAATACCTAAATTGATAAACTTTACTGGTAATGTATTGTGCGTTCACTGGACAATGTTCAGTTTAGCTGTCAGTTGAGGATTATGATGAAATTCCAGGTTGTGATATTCAGGGCGTGACAACTACAAGGCTTCACAAAGCGGATAGTGATACCACCGGCTGCCGCAAATTATTATTGACGATAATTTGAGATTTCATAGAACTCATTAAGGAAATGCTGAGTTGAACGCTATGATATTGTTTCAACGTCAACTTTATGATGATTTCGCAAACGAAATAAAAAGCAAAGAACAATATCTTTTGCAGATGTTGCTTTATTTTTGAATACGATTGTTGTCTCAAGAAGATAAGAGTGTTTGCATTGTTTATTGTTTACGTTGGCAGCGGTCGGAAGAGGTTTTCTAATTTTATAGCAGTTCAAGCACTATCAAAAAGGTAAGGTAAATACCAATTTTTCTTTTGTTTCTTTCGAATTGTAAGTGGTTTATTAGTTCTGCTTACCTACTTTTAAGTTTAATCAATGAAATAAGTATTAAGCGTTCCCAAAGCTGGATGTGACCAAAGTTCTGTTCGTTGTTTTTCTATAGTTAGTGTACGTATTTAGAACCAGTTTAACTTACTTGTGGCGTCCATCGTATGATGAAATTTAACCTTCGGCTGATTTCTTAATCCCTTATTTTAATGTTACATTCACACAACACTTACTTACAACTTGATAGTCTTTTTACTAAGAGATTCAAACTCGTGATGTTACAATCGAATTTAATATTACACAATAAAATAATTTAGGAATATCGTCTACGTTGTGATCTTGCGCGGTTTACTCTGTGAGTGAATGCACTCAAAGAGTGCGCGGGCGCATTACGTCACGACTGCGGGACAGAGACCTCCCACGATCTCTGAGCGAGGAAAGAGATAGATAGTGTGTCGTCACGTAACTTGTTGTTTACGTAGAATTAACTTACGTGTTTGGCGCCTAATTACAATAGTAATCAAGGCGCAATACCAGCTTGTCAAGTATCCGTATAGTGCACCGTGCACATGATACAAGGGACCGCACTACTTGGCAACTGCACGGGGTATCTCGAGGCATTGTCTAGCGCCAGCATTGTTGATGCGGAATGGCTCGTTAAACTTACCTATATGGAATGCGCAGGCATTTAACAATTGACATCATACAGGGCCACCCACAAAGATATTATATTGAGTTGTGGAGCTAAATTTATCTTCTTTATATGCTATTCATGAATAGAATTTTTGCGAACTGTTTGTTGATTTACCCTAAGTTTTTTATAGCTTATAGTCCCGCTAGTACAATTTTCTAGCAAGATGGTGTTTTGTTCAGGCGCTTAAGAACCGTCACGGGCCATGATTTCTATAGAGCGATGCGCCGGTGCTGAGGACGTGAGCTAGAACGGCGTAGGATTGCATAATAACTGCCATCCGTGCCTATTTTGTTTGACACTGTGACGCAAACTATTTTTACTTCTTAACTTAGTGTTGGTCATTGGTTTGCTATTTTTTTTTAGCAAACATATTAACTAATGGTAAGTAATCGGCACCGTTATGGCCTCCCGCAACACTGAAAGAGTTACGGGTGCGTTGCCGGCTTTTTGGGGATTAGGGATTTGGAGATTTTGGGATCGGGGAGGGGAAGGATTGGCTCTTCAATAACCTCACTCACACATTGAAACACAACGCTGTGGTTGTTTCACGCCGGTTTTCTGTGAGGCCAAGCCTCCGGTCAAGCCGACCCATTTGTGCCAAAGCACGGCACGGCGCACTTTCAAAAAGTGATCAAATCTTAGTCTAGTTTCCAACACTGTGACTTTTACAACGTCATGAGATTATTTCTATAATTTTGTGTAGTTTATTTTAACAATAAGTTTTTAAGAGGTTTCCGGCCACTGGGACCACAAAAGCTAGGACCGGGGTCCCAGTAGCCGGATTCATAAACAAATAAATAATTTTCTTCCAACGATTGGTTGATTGGTTGATTTACGAGTGGTCACTCGTAAATGATAACTGAAATAAAAAATGTACAGACAACCGAAAAATTCTTTCATGTATTTGAAGAAAAATCCTTGTTTTTTAAAACATCGTTCATTGGTATAAAAATAAATAGGTATTTAATTATAGGTGAGGCTGCTGACCTTGAAATTAACTCACAAAACGGACTCGAGTTAGAGATACCATCACAAAATTATAAAAAGTTTATTTCCTTTGTGTGTATTATTTATTCTGCGTATAAAAAAACGTGGTAGCTTAATAACTAACTAAGCGCATATGGTAAAATCATGTATATAAAAGTCAATGATATAAATCACTTATTTTTTTTCTTTTGAATGTACTTTTAGCTTGAATAATTGATTTTTTTATAAATTATCAGTAAGGTCCCAGTCTCCGGAAGAAAATTATTTATTTTTTACGGATTCGACAACTGGTACCGCGGTCCGAGTTTTATGTGGTCCCAGTCGCCGGAAGCCTCGTTTTTAACATACACAAGTGACACATTTCTAATTAGTAATTATTCAATAGCGCTTTCTGTTTTTCGACAATAAAATTATAGAGTTTTAGTCTCCAACACCACAGTGAATGTCGAACACTCAGTTATCGACTATTGACCAAGTTTAGTTGGTTGAAAGTGAATAGGGACCAAACAATTTAAAAGTGCGAATTTAATCAATGTTGTTGTTTTGGAGGGATGAGAGAACAGGGTGTAAAGTTTCTCATCTTCCTTTAAAAAGGGAGAATATTCCAACCAGATGGGTGTTATGTCTGGTGGACTACTGCCCGACGCGACGGTTGTTGTTTGGATTTTGTTTTTGTCATAACTGCGTGAAGAACTGTTATACTGAATCTTAAATGTGTTAGATGTCGCTACATTGGTTCACCCCCGATGATTAGGATTTTATGGTTTATTCATCTTTAAATAAATCTTGCAAATTGTATTAGAGCCAGTTTTTTCTTACCAATAAAATTGAGCTAAACATTGAGCACACATTTAAATCACGAGACCATATAATATTATCAAAGAGGAATTAGGATCTTCGCAATGAACCAATCAAGTCTGATCAAGTTTGGGCTTGTTTCAATCGTCCTCACGAGTATTTGGTCTTTTAATCGTATTTAGAGTCTACTCATGGAGTTTTACGCACCGTTCACATGCGAGGTGCCCGTATGAATTCAATTTAAGGACAGTTATTTCTTTAAAATAACTTATTGCGTACTACTGTCATGATGTGACTGTGCCCATTTTTTGTCAATGTGGGTAGCACACATTACCCTAATCCATGACGGTACATTTTAACGACATAGCCTGCACAAGAAGCTGTACCTATGCATGATAACGTAGTATTAGGAAATTTTGTGCAAATAATAGAGAGTAGTGACCAAGGAACTCGCAATTTTACGTTTCTGCTGACCTGAGTCCGCTGTCACAGTGTGCAAGTTCAGTCTATATAACAATCTCGCTATTGTAATTCGGAAGTCGTATCACTATAAGTACAAGACAGGGAGTATACATTAGCAACTTGGCAATTTTATGTCCTTCGCAAATTCATACGAAAATCGTCTAGTAACTTTAAAGATTGGTAAATTTTGTTTAAATAGTCAATTTTGTATGCTATTCTGCGCCAAAACACACGCTTCATGAAACAAGCCTTAGAGTTTTGGTGGAATGTAAAGCGCCATCTATCTATCTTCCTACAAACAATTTGATTTACAGCTGAACCAAAGGTCAGTGCGTTTGCTTTTGGGCGGGCGGAAAATTGAATTTTTCACGAGAGGGCAGTTGTAGCGGCGGGCGGAACCTAGGGGTGCGCGCGCACCATTACATAACGGTAGCAGAGGCTTTGCGGGCGCGCGCAGCGGCGGGTGCGGGGCGCGGGGCGATCGATGCGCGCCCGGGGGGAGTCAGTCGAGCGGCGAGCGAGCGACATGGCGGCGCGCCCACCCCGCGCGGCGGCCCCGCGGCCCGGGCCGCGCGAGTAGGTCGCCATGCGCGATGCGGTATGAGGCAGCGCCGCGCCCGGCGGGCCGGCCCCCGCTAGCGGCGCCGCCCCCGCCATGCGAGCGCCGCCGCTGCTGCTGCTGCTGCTGATGGCGGCCGCGGGCCTGGCCGTGAGTCCGCTCGCGCGCCTCAACCCCTGGCTGAGCGCGTGCGACCTGGAGGAGGAGGGCGCGGGCAGCGTGCGCGAGTGCGGGGGCGCGGCGTGCGGCGGCGGCGGCGGCGCGCCCGACGTGCTGAAGGAGCGCGACGTGCCGCACCTGTGCGCGCTGAGCACACCTGCACGCGCGCGGCGTCTCGCGGAGTTGCGGCTGCGCGCGTGCTGCGAGCGCTCGCCCGCCTCCGCGCTGGACAGCGGCGCGCGCGAAGCCGTGCTCTCCGACCAACAAAGTTGCGAGCGCGCGCTGCACGACCTCCTCGGTCTCGACGCTATGGTTGCGCGCGTGCACTGCGATTTCGTCGACATCCTCAGAAGATACGACTGCGACCAGCCCTACTCCGTGCACACGTGTCACGAGTGCCAGGTGAGTGTCACCACGAGACGACACCGTGTGCCCAACAATCAATGTCTGTGTCCATGTTTAGAACGTCTACAGGGATTGCAACAACAATTACATCTATGAAATTTGTCTACAAAACTATGCTACAGTATGAAGTGAAAATGCTGCAAAACAGAAACAAACATCCGTTGTTCAAGATCCATTCAAACACGATTAGGTAATTGTCAAGAACCTAAGATGATAGGTAGAATTATAGTTTAAAGCTTACTTTATATTAGAGGTACCTGTGCGGTGTCGTAATGAATAACCGGCACGTTACGTTATTCCGTTCCACTGGTTATTTTACAATATTCGTGTATCGATCCATCCTAGAAAGACACGTCTCTTAACCTTAGTATAGAGCGGACAGAGCTGGAGGTCGCGTGGAGGCTGGCTGGTGGCAGTGTGGGTGATGGATCCGCCGCCCGACCATTTGTCAGCGCGTAGTGCGGGTGACAGGCGCCCGCAGCCGGGCCATTACTGTGCGTCTGCCGACCTCGACGAACACTACGCGACAACTAGCTATTTCATAATCAACTCATATATCCATGTATTTCAGGTTCAATACCTTTTAATTTAGGAAACATTAAGCCAGGGTAATTAAAACAAAATCAAAATGCTTCAAATATGACTTTATTCTAATACAATCATCTCAAAGCTCACACCGAGCAATTATTCATTCATTCTATGAGAAAAGCAATTTTGACATTGCATTTGGAACAATTTATTATCGTCCCACATGAATGATGTAGGAGTCGCTTCATAAATACGTAGGATGTCAAGATCCATACACGCTCGGTTATAATATATTGTGTGTTAATGCAGGGTTAATGCGGCCGCCAGATACACGCCCCTGTCACTAGTGTAGTGCTTCGTAAAGATCTCCCACCGAGGCCGAGAGTGGAACTGGTTAATCCCTGTCCGAGATAACGCAGATCGGTACACCCGATAATGTCTCACGAGACCGACCAATTAAATTCAGGGAAACGTGAATGATTGCTGTCATAAATGATTCGATTCAATCGTAATGGCCGACGGTTAGTGGTTTGTAAGAAGAAAATATATGGTTCGAAAATTTACCGGTTTGTAGGTCGTGTTTTATTTGTAATTGTACAGAACAAGAAATTGTAGGCACACACGTTTGTGTCATTGTTAATTGAGCTTTAGACTGTGTATGTGTGTGTGTATGTATCGGAAAGGTTTTCCTGGAAACAGTCGGGGTGCTAACGTCATTCGGTGAATCATAGATAGTAAACACATCACGAACCATCCATTCACCAGCAATATGACAAATAATCGATATACATACAGCCTAGTACCTACCATAGAAAGTGGAAAGCATATTTATAATTAGATGTGACGTCATTCAGTAATTTAAAATGCAACGGGTTAACAATAATTTAATCTAACACGTGATAGTATTTGGTAAATAAATAGATTTTATATGGAGTTCAATGAAAAGTGCTTTCATTAATATCACCATTGTAAAAAGATTTCAATATCAAATCAGCTTTTAAATGTTTATTTACAAAAACATACAGTACTTAATAGAGAACCGCTGTATATATAAGTAAATACAGCATGTAAACAGTATATAGGTATGTATATGTAGCTACACAGGTATACATATATCGAAGCGGGTTGCCGTAACATAAACAACTTTTAAAAAGCTATTTTCTCTATCGGAGCGGTTTGTCGACTGTTATTTGCCGTTTCTCTCATTTCCCAAAGCTGCATGTTATTTAGTTTCCCCTAATTCTTCTTCTAAGTTATTTTTCCTGTTTCGAAATAATCTTTACGTTATTTTGTTAGTTTCTTTTTTTTTGTAACCTTTTTGCCTCGAAAATTGTACTGTCATCGTTTTCATATCATTTCCCTAATGTTGTCCATTCCATAATGCTCGTCTATTTTTACATTTAACAGCTAAAATGACCTAGCGAACACAACAGGAATGAAAAAAAATATATTGTACGAAGAATCAAACCTAATAACTTTTTGATAAACAGTCAATGTAGATTATTGAGTTCAAACCATTACAATTCAGATGTTTAAATACATACATATATGTACAAAAAAGTGAAATTCAGTCGCCAGTTAAAACTTCTCGGGTAAAAAAGTTGATGAAAAAAATACGAAACACAACCTCTTTTTAAAAGAAAGTTCGCAGAACCCCGGCTGAAACCCGTCGAAAAATATTAAGGATGCCTTAAACCCACTTAAAAATATTTTGTTTTTCTTTTTGTAGGCAGTATAATTTACAGCCAGTACCAGCATCAGTTTTCAATTAGATTTTAAAATGAGGTTTTAATAAAGTAAGCCAAACTTGACTATTAAACAATATAATAAATAAATATTCCTTCTTCAAAACTCGATAATAGATATTATTGCTTTGATGCGATGGATGAAATTGAAAGTTACCTTCATTTAACTTATTTATTTACATTCCTGAGGCAGTACTTCAGGTTTCTTTAAACGAATTATAATTGTCAAAAAATATAATAACATATTATATCTAGCTGTTTAATATTTTCTTTATTTATCAATTGAGATGAGATCTCAAGAGAGGATCGAAAGAATATTCTTCATCATAAATAAATAAAAAAATATTTACATAGGTAAATTGTAAGTTGTCGGTCAGTGTACCTATCTACTTTAAATTGTTCATAGGACTATTTAGCAGCACAAGTAAATTTTGGTTGCCAAGCGTTATAAACAACTTTGCTTCTGCTTGATAAAAATGTTTTTATTATGACGTAGTTGTAATATATTCGGTCCGAGTTACATACAACGACTTAACTAGCAAAAAGTCTACGACTAAGTACACTATACCGGCTACCCTTCCGAGAAAAACAAACAAGGTAATGATTATATTTCTCATTCTCTTCAGGTATTTTGTAAATACATTAAAATTCAGTGTTAACAGCCTTGTTAGGTAAGGAGGGTCCACTTTTATTACTTTATTTTCTTTTATGTTACGTTTATTAAGAGGTGGTTGTCAAAGGATTGCCTGAAGGTGGCGTGTCTGTAGCCATTTCCTCGCAGCGATGTCACCTGCAATTGAAACATCTGAAAGCTTTCAGCCGTTTGCCACTCCGTTAACTCCACCTATTTTTATTTTATTTGTAAAGTAATAAAATTCGCCGGTGAGCCGGTACCTGGATTGGTTTCATATAGAAATATTAAGCGCTTTGTTTGTTTTTTAAAATGTTTTTTGTGAATGATGATTTGCTAGTACGGGAGTTAAAACATCGTTTGTTATCAAACAATGGTGTATTCAGTAAAACGTTTAGGTTGTATTATAGTACAAAGATTCGCCTCCTTAAATCCTTTCTCCAATAAGATGTGTAAATATTGACGGGACCCATTAATTATCGTTTTACAATTTTCTGTGAACATTTCAAAGTATGGACGCAAAGTTTTGTTGTTTAATAATGTTTCTCGACAGTTGTTAGTTACAGAAGTTCTTTATTATCGCCTGGCTTTTGTTGCAGTTAAGTGCATTAAAAAGAACAGGGAATAGAAATATATATATATTTCATTTGCTTTACAAAAATAGTTTTAACATCTGGCCCCTCTATCCTCATTCATTCTTCGCCTTTACTAGGCTGTAGGCATCAGTCATTGTCCTATTACATACCTACATACATATATTTAATGAAAATCAATACCTACCATTTATTCGTGTTTTATTTAAATGTATTGTAAATATACAAATATTCTCGTATGTCCTTTACAAAATTTATTGTATTTACGCGACATCTATCAATCGTAGAAACGTCGATCGTACTGTTGATTGATATGAATTCTGTTTATCTGCGCAACCGACTCATACCACTTACGGTTATTGTCAGCAATAACTAGTAAATATTGTTTGGCAAAAATCAAACCTTTTCTTTTGCCCCAAACTATAACAAATTTCCTTTTTATGTTTCCTAACCTACAATAACAAAGCCTTTCTGTGTAAGAAAAGATTTTGCAGGTTCATTTTAATATAATAGAGTATCTGTCGAATTATTTGTTTAGACCTTCAATTAAGCGTGTACATTAAAAAAATAAACATTGGTATTTTCTCCTGTGTCGTGGGTGCGTTTACAAACATTAAATTTCACATACACATCACACCTAGACCCGGAACAACAATTTATGGACCACACAAAGAGTTGTGCCTGCGGGAATAGAAACCGCGACCCGTTGTGCGGCAGCCAGTTTCCCAGCCACCGCGCCAACACTCGCAGTTTTTTATCCTCACAGAAAATAAAAGGTTTTCCGTGATCATCTTTATAAAGTATCAAATTTACATCGTAGAACAGATTAAACGCGTGTAATTAGTAATCGCGACATATTGTTATAATAAAGCACCATCGTCTTTAAGTTTCCTTTACAAAATTATCTTTGTAATCATAATTCATGTTTGTTTGTTCGTCTCTCGTGGCGTGAGAGTGCAGGTGTTTTCCGTGAATTAATTTAACGAGTCAGGTAAATCGCGGGCCCATCCTGTCATAAGGGTCATACTCCACTGTCGTTATGGAGACATATGTCAATACACGATCTCAGTAACTTTTTCAATTAGTTGATTCTTATCCACATTTCGAATGTATTTTGAATGTGGTGTGATTATACATAATTTCATACTTTGTGCAACCCAATAATTTCCATAGCAACCGGTGAAAGTCTTATACAATAAGAAACAGATGGATATTCCTATTTTACCCGTTAGACAGTGTTACAAATGATTCATGTAAGGAAAACAACAGATGAAATAGCTATTGGTAACTGATCATTGCCGCCCATGAACAACGGAAACTCTAGAGAAATTACTTACAAGTCCGTTGCCAGTCTTAAGAGAAGTACTCTCTTTTCTTGAAGGTTAATCATGTTTGTGTGTATTCTTTTTAATGGGACAAGCCCGCCGCAACCTACCAAACCACTGCAACTCCTGTAAGCCAGGAACTAAAGTAGAAACAACCATGAAAACACCGGAACAC